AAAAACTGGTCATTTAGTAGGATAACATTAAGTTAGGCTTAGGACATATTTTGATAGACCTCTAGTAAAGGATTAGGTTTTTAATAAAAATGGTCATAGTGATAAGTAAGGACATTAGTAGTATAGTTTAGTAGTGATAGCGACATTTTAAGTAGGATTAGAGCCATTAGTAGGTTAGATTTGTTATTAAATTGGTCATTTAGTAGGAAGTACATTAGTAGGCTAGGACATTAATAGGATAGGCCTCTATGTAGGATAGGTTTTAAAAATTGGTCATTAGTAGGCTAAGACATAGTAGGATAGACCATAGTAGATAGATTCATTAGTAGGATAGGCCATTAGTAGGATTATTTTTAATAAAATTGGTCATTAGTAGAGTAGGACATAGTAGGATATAGCATTAGTAGATAGGACATTAGCAGGATAGGGCCATTTGTGGTTAGTTTTAAAATTGTCATTAGTAGTGATTAGGACATTAGCGTGGACTAGGCCATTAGTAGGTTAGGTTTTTAATAAAAATTGGTCAATTAGGTAGGATAGAGACATTAGGTCAGTATAGGATCATTAGGTTAGGTAGACATTATAGATAGGCCATTAGGTAGCGTTAGCTTTTATAAAAATTGGTCATTAGTAGGATAGGACATTAGTAGGCTAGGACATTAATAGGATAGGCCTCTAGTAGGATAGGTTTTTAATAAAATTGGTCATTAGTAGGCTAAGACATTAGTAGGATAAAACATTAGTAGAATAGGCCATTAGTAGGATAGGTTTTTAATAAAATTGGTCATTAGTAGGATAGGACATTAGTAGGATAGGTCATTAGTAGGATAGGACATTAGTAGGATAGGCCATTAGTAGGATAGGACATTAGCAGGATAGGCCATTAGTAGGTTAGGTTTTTAATAAAATTGGTCATTAGTAGGATAGGACATTAGTAGTATAGGTCATTAGTAGGATAGGACATTAGTAGGATAGGCCATTAGTAGGTTAGGTTTTTATAAAAATTGGTCATTAGTAGGATAGGACATTAGTAGGATAGGTCATTAGTAGGATAGGCCATTAGAATGATAGGTCATTAGTAGGATAGGCCATTAGAATGATAGGTTTTTCATAAAATTGATCATTAGTAGGCTAGGTCATTAGTAGGTTATGCCATTAGTAGGATAGGTTTTTAATAAAATTGGTCATTCGTAGGCTAGGACACCAGTAAGATAGGACATAAGTAGGATAGGTTTTTAATAAAATTGGTCATTAGTAGGCTAGGACATTAGTAGGATAGATCATTAGTAGGATAGGCCATTAGTTGGATTGTTCATTGGTAGGATAGGCCATTACTAGAATAGGTGTTTTATAGAATTGGTCATTAGTAGGATAGATCATTAGTAGGATAGGCCATTAGTTGGATAGTTCATTGGTAGGATAGGCCATTACTAGAATAGGTGTTTTATAGAATTGGTCATTAGTAGGATAGTCGTTATATCTAACCATCGTCTTGTATCTTTTTCCGTCGATGATTGACTTTACTTAGATTTGCTTTTAAGCCTATTCATGAATAATTCGTTTGCGACTGACTCTAAACTCTTTTTGTCGTCCTTTGTCGCTTCTCGAATAATTCTATTACAGGGCTCTCGCTTTTATCTTTGAATATTTGGCTTTTAACATTTGATAGATGCCATTTAAGACGTGTCTGAAGTTCATCACATGTTGATCCATTATATGTTTATATTCATTTTTGAATGTCACTTTGTATATTTTTCCATTTTCGTATGTACTGTTGAATTTTCTGTTTAACAACTCTGATGATGGTTGCTTCCTATTGAAATATTTGTTGTTTACCTCTTTGTTGTTCAGATGAATGCACGCAAATTTGGTCATTCTACTTTGTGAAATATACAATTATTTTTTATCCATAAGGTTTGTATCATATATGTTATATGGTCCATGAATATCTGAACCTTGATCTTTATAAACGGTTACACAAAAAGCTGGTAGGAAGGATTAAGAAAACATGTTTTCATCAAACCATTCACTATCACCTTAAAACGATTATTTTGTATTTCCTCTACTTCGAATTCCATTGTATTTAATATATTTTTGTCCTTGATGTTCGTTGTTGTTTTAATTGGTAAATCCTGATATGCCTTGTAACTTTCCTTTTTATCATATTTGTTACATATTTCTTGCCTTGTGTGTATTGGTTACATCATTCAGTATTAACTTTTATTCTTACCCAAGATTGTTGAGTTCAAGTAACATACTTTCCTATAAAGCGTCTTATCGATAGGTTGGAAGTATCCTATGTTTAGAAGTATTCTAACAATGTGTATAACAATTCATGTGTTATTGAGACATGTTTACACGACTTCTCTATGTATTCCATAGTTCACTGACTGTCGTTGACTCCAGTTGCGTGGTGGCAGGGCGGCCCCCTGAATAGGGGCGCAAATGGAGATAAGGGGGTGCCAAAATTGATTGCTTGTAATATTCGGATAGGAACATCAAAATTGATCGCGCACGGATAGAACACCTTGCTGAACTTGCTGTGAACAATCTAATAAAACGTGTGATTCTACAATCGAAGCACGTTGCGCTGGCATGACTCAATCAACATTTGTGTCATATGTTTTCGTGTTAACTATGTACGTGGCTTCATGTTTAGCACGCCAACTAACGAAGATTTTGCGTATGCCAAAAAATTTGTGTGTTAGTTTGCACTCGGAACGCCAAAAAGCCTGAGTGTACGCCAAAGATCTTCGGTCCTAGGTACACTGAATGCACCCTGGCAATCAATACAGCAGCTTTTTGTTTTTAACATTGATGTGTACCAAAGGTCACCCTTTCTTTCTTTGTCCAAAGCATGAATCCTTTTCTCCCAAATTTTTCCTGATAATAAAATATCAATGTTTTTTCTGAGCATCGTCGAATTGTCTATTCTGAGCGGGGTAGTAATTTGTTAAATTATAATCTGGGAGATACATTTTTAGCCATTCTGGAAGGCTTGATTTCAAAAATTTTATTTCTTTCACTAAACTTGATTTTTTTTGCTGTTGAAAAAACTACTATTCAATATCTACTTGAGAATAACAAACTTGAGCCATGTTTGTATATTATACATTATATATACGATGACACAAGGCTGGTAAAATCGCCCATAAGCAGTGGCAAAATGAACTAAGGTTACCTTTAGTTAAAAACTAAGGAGTCCGAGACGAAGAGTTGCTCTACGTTTTTTAAATCTGAAGCTGGTATTCTAGATATAATAAACGAGTTCCATTGGCCACCAGCCTGTATGAAACATCAGTGTAATTGAATAGAATGTCTTTTGATTAGTATTTTATGTTTTGCTTACCGTATTTCCTCGAAAATAGGCAGACCCTCAAAAATAAGCCAATTCAAAATAGGCGGATATTTACTGAACCACGATTGAGAAGGTCAAATGTTAGGATTACATAGTTTTTTCCATTCTCGCAATTTTTGTCAAAACTTATTATACATAGATAGGGCGCAAAAATTGACTTGGTCACGCCAGGGAAAACATAGCCACCCCGCCACTGGTTGACTCTAAGTAGTCATAAAATAACCGACAACCAGCTTGAACAGGTTCACATTGGTTAGGGTCTCCGAACACGTAAATGGTGTTATTGTGCATTGTAAATACATAGTAAATCAACGTTATCCATTTATTGGGAATCATACTGAATTCTTCAGAAAATATATTCTTGTTCTTGAGACCTTTGATGCTTGTTTCTATATTATCATTATTGAATTCGTTAAATAAGAATCGAATGTATAACATATATTATCAACATTGACCTTGTTAAAACCAATTTTAATTTATCTATGTTTCACATTCTCAGTGTCTTTATTGGTAAATGAAAAATAATTGGGCTTTCGGCCATCATTCCATTTTACATAGTCCATGAGTTTTACCAGAACCAGCTTGTCCATTGAAAATACAACCTTTACCATTCTCTGTTATATAATCTGTTATATCCATGTTTTCTCTGTAATGTTTTTCAAAGAATGATTCCACCTTCCTCAACATATGCTTTATCTATCCGCTTAGTACTAAGTTTGACATTTCTTTTTTTCCTGATTGATTTGATAGGGTTGGTTATGTAGATATCCAGACATACATATCACACCCTATCTTTTCTTTTCATTAACTTATAGATCATTATTTAGAAGTAAGTTTTTCCTGGTTTAGAACAAAAAATTCTAATCAGGGGGCGCAGGGGGTGCGATTTTGCTTTTTATCACGTGACCCTATGACGATAGTAGCAGTAATATCCATACAATACATTTTTCTTACCATGGCATGTTTCTATTATTTGTAGACATTTCAATATAGCCTCAAATACAACAAACCTGCTAATGCTTGTATGGTCTGAAAATAGACAATTTACTATTTATTCTTGTATGAGATAAATACCATAATGGTGATCAATTGTTACATTTTTCATGCTCTCCGATATAAAGCTATTTGCTATTTTCTTAGCCTCACCCTCTCGAAGGGTATCAAAAATTTATATTATGAAATCACTGAATGTATCTGATTTCAATGCTTCTTTAGTTACAATCTTGTATTTTATTTGTATTTTATTTGACTAATCGGCATATGTAATGTTTTTACTAGGTATGATACTAGATTAGTGCTGTAAAACCCGGCTTCGATTTTAATGGGATTGCTATCTACATCGAGTTGTTTCATTTATATAGAATTCACCATGTAGTTGTAGTTCGTTTTTACTGTCAAATGGTTCAATAAAGTCATGTATACTGCAAATAGGCATTTCATGTTTATTGTTCAATAGGATGCTTGGGTAGCATTTAGCTACATCAATATTTACAACTTATTCTGGTATATTTACAACGTCCTTCATTGAACACCATTGAAAAGCCCTTGGATGGTATTCATCCAACACTTGCCGTGTATGTAAATTGTAACTTGACTCAGTGATATAACCATTAAACTGTTTGAATGAACTTGTAGTAATTGATGTAAAGCTTTGATTTGTCCTCTTGTAATCGTGAGTTTTGTATATGTTAAATAGCTTATTGTATATTGCTTTTCTTGTATCATATTCTTCATATAAAAGGTACATATTCTTTTTGTCATCAATAAAACCATCTAGAATACCATTGTTATTCCAATGTAAGTATCCAACATAGAAGTTATTACTCCTACTGTAACAATTCATAGCATCATTCATCTTCACATTTTAAGGTACAACGATAATATTTTTCTCCTTATCTAAATTATATTTTTCCTCTAATGATTTATTTTTTGTAACATTCTCATATCGTCTAGTCCGTTTTAAATCATACATATGTTTTAGTAAGTCGTCATATCTACCCTGATTCAACTTACTGGCTACAACTTTTAGCTTTTCGTCAGTGATTCGATAGAAATAATGATTCTTGACAATGTATACTAAAACAACATTGGCTCGTGTATCAGTTGCGTTATGTGAAATAAATTTCTTATATCTACAATCGAAAGCATGGACTGATACATTATCATCATGGTTTTTTACCCAATTCATAAGTTCTTCAGTACTTATCATATCACCCTCTTATATTAAATACTCATATATTTCACTCTTCAACTTATCAGAAGTATATATCTAATTTGACATAAATCGTCTTATAGATGCTGCTTGTGCTTTCAGTGCTCAACGTGGTATTGATGCTCAATCTGAGTTTGCAAAGAACCGCAGAAGATGAGTGACACCACAAAGAATCAGTGGCGTACCCAGGGAGGGGTCTGGGGGGTAGCCCCCAGAAATTTTTTTGGGCCACACCCTTCAAACACTCACCAATGCGTGGAAACGCCCTTTTTGCAAAATTTTCCCCCATTATTTGATTCATTTTGGCTACGGTAAATAGCAAAGTATTTTACAATTGTTATTGACACAAGCATTCAGTATACTGCACCCCCTCCCCCCCCAATGCGTTTTACATCGTTTTTGGATAAATCTCGAGGAACATATTTTAGAAAAGTGGGGGGTCCGGACCCCCCTATTCCCCCCCCCTTGGGTACGCCACTGCAAAGGATTGATGATGCCCCAGAAACTGCAACCCAGCACTATCAGATATGAAGAATCTTGGGATTGTTTTTTTAATTTACTTTTACTACTACTTTTACAATCACTTTTTAAAGCGTACACATTTATCGCAGTGTTCCAGTTGAGATTCAACTTGGAAAAATGTAAAAAAAATCCTCGCGTAGACCGGGTTTCAGACGTAAATGACGAAAGAGAAGAACGATTTTCATTTCAACGATGTTAGAGACAATCAAAAAGTTAGGTTTCTTAAGATGAGAGAGAAACTAAGGACAAATTTCAGGGTTTGAGCAAACTTTGAAAATACGTTTTAAAATTCGCAGCCAAAGATCGGTAATTGTAAAATATTTCCGTCTATATACACAAATTATAACACGAGAATTACCGCGATCTAGATTTTCTTTGGGATATCTTTCACCCTGTGTGGGGCTGTGATGAAGCTCATTTTTCGAGATTTTACGGCCAAGGGGCCCGGAGAAATATATTTCTAAAGACGTATACCACACTCTATGCCACAAGTGTCTACGCCACAAGTGTGAAGGAGTTCTTTAACTTCATTCAGCATTTTTTGTCAAATCAAAAAAATTGGAAGCATTTGAGACGTTCGTGAAACAGATATAACAAAAACTAATAAACGATACAAGAAGACCATATTAAACGAAATATAGTTCTGAATATACAGTTCCATATACTTTCATTCGTAGCCCCTAAAAGAAAAAGAGAACATTTTACTGCTATGTAAAAGCTTATACGAAATAGATTAAAGAATATGTTAGATATAAAAAAGAGTGGAAAGTCGCTTGTTAAATGAACTGGAAAGTCCCCACCCCTCACTCGGGAAGATTAAATGTATAACTGCAAACCTTTGTTATATCCTGCTTAATGGCCGTGGCACGGTTAGGTTTTGTACGGATCTTAAATAGCCTTTTAGCACAGTAATCGAAAATAAGTGATGCTAGCTTATTTCAAAGGCAAAAGTTGCCGGCTTTTCTCTAGAATTAAAAGACTTTGATGAAATAAGAAAAATTTCTACATATACTCCTTTCAAAAGTGACCTTGTCTATCTAAGTTCTCTGTAGAGTGCACCTCCTCGTCAATCTCACCACCGCATCAACGTTTTAAACTCTGAAGAGTGTCAGACGAAAAGCTTTAGTTTACTCAAATGTTTGCTTTTTTCAAAGCCATTTTCAAGTTTTGTACCACCAAAAGATTGTTTGAATATGAAGAGAGCTATTATGAACACCTACTTGACCATGTGAGCAATGTCCCAGTTGGTTTCATTCGTCATACCAGATTCTATAGACACACCAGTCTCATTGACAACTGCAACTTCGAACTAAAAATCGTTGAAAATCAAACAATATCATCAAACAAAAGACGCAACTGAATTCTTCAAAAAACGACATCAAGTTGGTGGGCGGTTTCCACTCTCTAACAGTAAGCGATTGAAAAACATAACAAACATTAAAAAAATGCAGAAGTTTGAGTGATAGTGACCAATGTTTAACACACATAAAGGATTTATAATCTTACCAAAGAAGGGAAACGTTTTCATATAAGAAATATATCGCTGTAGAAATCTTGGGTCATTCAAATTCAAGTGTTTCTTAATTGTTTTTTGCGTAGTGGAGAACTTTACTGGCTATATATGGTCTAAACAAACAATGGAGCTGCTACACTGCAATATATTATATGTGTGATTATCTATGCGTCTTTATCCCATCTCTATGGGTCTTTATCCCATCCCATTGCGTCTTTATCCCATCTCTACGCGTCTTTATCCCATCTCTATGCATCTTTATGCCATCTCTATCTGTCTTTATCCCATCTCTATGCATCTTCATGCCATCTCTATCTGTCTTTATCCCATCTCTATGGGCCAACTGATTGGCCTTTTTTAAACCCTAAAGGCGGCAAGCTTGATATTCGTTCTTATCAATCAATGCATTAATTTAGAAGGCTTTTGAAAGTTGAAATTTTGATAGAGAAAACTCAATATGTTGTTTGCATATGTGTTGTCCTGAGCGGCTTCTTACAACTTCTAACAATTGTTTCTATATATTTGAACTGACAGTGGACTTTGAAAAACATCTTCATTCCAGCACTTTCAGGAAAGGCTTGAAGTATCGTCCACTTATTATTCGTCTTTTACCACAGTATTCTGAAATTAGCTTTGTTAATCTCACCATCAGCTATTTTGGCAAATTTGATAAATGGTCCAACTTATTCATCGAAATGCTTGATGATCACGGTCTAGCAACTAGCAACCAAAATCTTGAATTCCCTTAACTCCACAAACATTATTTTATCAAAGAATTGACTTTTAAGTAAATCGATAAATGAATTATGCAAAAAACCAAACCTTGTTAAGACTGCGTGCATCTCTATAATAAAGAACTTTCAAACAGTCCATTAAGAGCTTTACTGCTTCAGCTTGTGACATATTTCCATTTTTTTCAAGAGCGTCGCGTAATAAAGGCTGAAACGATGCATAATCTTAATTATATAAACGATGCATTATATATTTGTAACTGAAAAGTGTTATGAGACATTAGGGTTACTGAACATGGATTGAAAGAGCTAATTAGAAAATAGCAGCTTTCAGTCAGTGATGGAAAAGACATCAGGGATGTTGCAACAGAGAGTTCTTGTAGCCTATCTTTAAACTAGCTAAAACTTTCATAGCAGCCAGTGACAAATAAAGCATATACGGTTACTGAACATTTGTATGAAGGACTGATAAGGATATGAGACGCAAAACTGCTGCGATGCTAGGTCTTCTGTTACAGTGATAAAATCACTTTAACAGTTATTACTCTACTATTACAGAAAAATAAGATGAGGAGGACTTATAAGATATGAGAAATATCAACAGACAGGAAAGATAAAGAAACATACTCTGGCAATGTAAGCTCCATATCCAGTTGCAATAGAGTTTTCTTGATACGCAGTTCCCAACTTATCAACGTAACCTAACAGACTGATAAAAAAACACATATCTTACAATAGACATATCTTACAGACATTTGTGACCACGAAACAGCCGGTAAGAGGCACATTTCTGATTTCCGACATTACAACGAGGGCACATGTTGAATTTTGATCGATTGAAGAAAACATTTGTAACAGATTGAGTTATTCTTCAAAACCTCTGCTGAAAGTGAATAACATGTTATGACGTCAATTTCTAATCGAAATGAGCCCATGTAACGACTCAGAGCTTTTTGAGCTCGGGAAAATCACAGCAAAAGATAATTTGTTATTTGCTGTATGTGAAGTGTATCATCAGTAAAGTCAAAGTATATCTATCGTTTGGAAAGAGCAAAACAAGAGAAAGATTGCAGTGATCTTAGACAAAGGCAGCTAACAGGTTCTAGCGCTCCCGCCATTACGACTGAGAAATGAACAGAGTTTGTTTGTAACCATTCAAGTTAAAATTGAATATTGATTTCTCAGTACAAGTAAGCCATGATGAAGAAAAAATTGGACAGATCCTCCAAAGGTACACCTAGTGAGCCATCTAAAACAGGATTAATATTGAAAAAGAAGCGTAAGATAAGACTGTGGTTTGTAGAAAAGTAAGTCGAGAGTGAAGTATTTGGATTTAAAACTGCAGCCTACCTTTTTCCCTTTTTGAAGCCAGCAACAACAACAGTATTCCAGAGAGGATTAAACTTACTCCGCCTTAAAACAAATCGGCATCAATTAATAATAAAAAAATCAAAATATCTAAACAGCTGATAGATTCTCAGGCAAAATTTATAATAAAACAAAATCATTCCTGTTGCAATTATGCACAGTTGCAAATTAATCTGAAGCTTAAAGGAATAATTTACCAGAGCAAAATCGGCATATTTAAGAGTGACTTTAAGAACTAAGTTGCAAATTTAAAAAGAATTCAGGATTAAACCATAAAAGGCTTGAATACATAATCAGAAATCCAAAGGTTTTCACGAGATTCATATAAAAATAACAGAAAGGAAAACAAAAATTAAGGCTAAATTCAATGTTTTCTACTTTCTAAAATTCACTTTCACATTCTTTTTTTAAAATTTGCATCAAAAAGGGTTGCTATTTCATACCGCTGATACATATATCTTGTGATCCATGAAAGAATAGAAGCAGGAGACAGGGAATAACCATCACCAATTACATCATTCTCAATCCTTCAAAAGAAAAACCTTCTTAGAATCTGGCAGCATCTGCTCATTGTATTTGGAAACTCGGGAAAAGTATAAACATTTAGTGTATAAAATTAGCACAAGAGTTGAAATAGAATTTAAAGAAAAAATATGCATCCTGACAGAAACATCAACAAACACTTTGGAGCATTTCCTTTGTTCTGACCTACAACCTTTCAATCATCAATCAGCATAACCAGCGTTCTAAACTTTTCAATATCAACATGATCAAATTTTTCATAGGACAGAAGTCTGACTTGATTCATTACCATGGATAAAAATAAAATGTATTAGATTTACATAACAAAAACTTTAAATAAGGAAAGGATAAATAGAAACATAAATTCTGAATTTTCAATGCTTACATCATCATTTCTAAAAATTCAGATAGAAATTGGAAATCAGCGTAATCCCCTGATGCTCCTATCACAGTTTCATTGTTGACTTTAGATATCCTTGAAATTCCAGGAAATCTGGCCAATGAACCATAAGAGCCTAAAATATAAAAATAACTGTTGAAAACAGCGCAATATCTTAAGATCTGAAGGTGAATCTTCAAAAAAATCACATCACAGTTATCTTTAGCAAGATGGAAATGAATTTTGCTGACAGTGAAATATTTTAACAGGTTTAGCAAGAAACAATTTCAATAAAATATATCAAGATGACTCCATTGATCAAAATGCTGAAGTTCTAAAAATTTTGTCATGTCAAACCTCATAAGATGTGTAGTACAGCTAAAAGTAAACAAAAGGGCATACACGGATCTACAGACTGTATGTTTAGCTGAAGAAGGTGGAAATAGGGAGGAAATTGCTTGGTCATGCCCTTTAGGTTGCCTGAAAACACCTGTTTGGCTGTTTCATTAAAAAGGAAATCAATCCAGATCCGTGAAACCTTAAGAGAGGATGTTGGTATTAGAGCTTCATTATTGAGGTCTACAACAACAATCAAAAATGTGAAACTTTTACACACTCTTTACTAGAAGCTACCAATTTTCAATTGCTCATCTTTTCTTAAACTTTATCAAATAATTTTGAGCAACTAGCTACTGTTTCTTTATCACCTACATCCTTGCTACTACCAATTTTTTTCAGGCTTTGCTGTTATATCACACATCTTTCATACCCTTAGGTGCCTTATAAACAGGTAAACCCACTTCCAAATATTTAAAAATTGCTCAAACCCCCAGGCACTAGTAAGAACCCCCTTCTTATTTTTTGGCCACTGGCCTTGAAGATTGACCGGAAACATAATATCTTTGTTATAAATCCTCCAATCTGTCAAATAATCCTCCTTTGCATTTTGCATCTTTATATCATATTGAGTTTCGATTGCATATTAAACTAGATTTTCCTAATCCACAGCATTCCCTTTTTAGATGTCAAGATTTTCAATATAGATAAAGGAATCCCATTATTATTCACCTATTTACGAAACCAGCACAAAATCATACTGACATATTGAGTCAATGAAACAGCAATCATGTCGCTTGTAAAAATTTTAAAGCAGACATGATTACAACTAACAAAATATAGAAAGACAGCAAAAATGCAATATAAATGAGTGGGGGAACTTTAAACTTTTAATCAGTTATGGTCAGTGGGGGGAAAAAATGCGCATGGCGATTTTGGGAGTAAAAAATGCGCACCCATTTCTACAGCGCTGTGGAGGAGTAACCAACAGTTTGAGATAAGGCATGATAAACCAAACCTTTGATGATAGTTTCAATGAAAACCAAATCCAAAAATAGTGCTCTTTTGTTTTTCATTACGTATTTGAAAAGCGGAAGCTCCAATTTATGATGATATCAAGTTTTCCATGACAACGGTAAACTTTTCGATTTCTCAGCTCATTGACTGCATTCCAAAGGTATTATCACAGCATTACACTACTTCAGTGTTGAGGTCATTGCCCATAAACAGATGTTGTTACTCCTCCCAAGTGGCATGTCTAGAGGGGCCTGCGCATTTTTTAACCTCAAATTTTCTGTAGTGAGGGGAAAAAATGCGCACCATAAAGTTATATTTTCGTCGGAAAAAGGCTCTGTATCTGTTCTTAAAACATGTGACATATGCAAGAATGAAACCATATTTCACAACCATATGGATTTGGGAAAATTATTTTCTAGAAACCAAGAAGTTTACATAAAAGGACAAGTTATAACTTTCTAAAAAGACTTTGGATCCTTTTCATAAGAGCATTTGCCTTTCTAATAATTCTTTTAAAAACATATCAAAAGACGCTTTGCATGGAATATACCAAGAAGTTATCTTGTGCAGAGGGGCAGAAGGGAATACCTTATCTCGGGGGGATGTCAAAGTTTTGATTCCGTCAGCTGATCTAACTGTCGTCAGATGACTATGATGTAATATTTAAATTTTACCTTGCTGAAACAGCAATAAGTGAATTACAATAGATGCTATTTATGGGCCATTTTATGTGTTGCGTGTCTCTTGATGGCTATAAAAGCTTTTCCACTGAAGACAAGATCAGTTTATTTTAGAAGACGACAAATTAAGTCGCATTGCATAGATTGAAAGCAAAATGCTGAAGACGTATGTAAAAAAAGCAAAATCTTGGCAAGAGAGCCATATGGAGAACGCTTTGCTAGAAGTTTCAAGTGGCGTTTTAAGCATCAGGAAAGCTGCAAAGACAATCTTGATTTAAAAAAATTATTTACAGCAAATATCAACAAATTTATTGAATCAAATCAACATTCTTCCGTAATTGAGAGGTGCGCAGTTTTTTGCCACATGTGCGCATTTTTTCTCCTTTTTATGGTTAAAAAATGCGCACCAGTTTTTCATTTTTAAAAAATAATCTCTTACAGAAATGGTAGCAATTTTTTGTTGCTAAAGGAACTGATCAGGGCTACTTTGTAACTATACATAATTTTTTCCAATATGTGTGAACAATCAGGGGGAAACCGAAAATTTCTCAAAAATGCGCATTTTTTCCCCCCACTGACAATACATGAATATCATGCATTCATCAGAAAGGCATGCTATTTCTGGTGCGCACACCCTGGTGCACCTCTTCTGCTTTTATCATAAGAGCAAAATTCATAATTATTGGTTTTATGGGTTTTTGAGACAAGTTTAAATGCTTATTCTTCCTTGGTACTATTACTTCATTCCATTTCAAAAAGGCTTAGCACCTTGTCAGATTTGCAGATTAAACCACATTTTTTGAAATAATCATAGGACTAATCAGACAGTAGAGTCCCAGATACAAGTAATTTTATGGTATGACAAAGAATGTCTGGCCCCTTGCATTCTGCCTAGCTCCGTACAAATTCCCTAGGTATAACAAATCTTGTATATAACTAACTCTCTTTATTACAAACCTTATTGTAGGTGCCTTCATCATAATTTTTCTCGATATGATAAATTTTTTTATCCATTATTTTGGTGTACTTAATCATGGTGTCTATTTATCATTTTCTCGGTAAAATCATTATTGTCATTAGCAAAACCTGCCTCTGCTCTAAATCTTGATGTTGGGAAAACAGCATCAAATGATAAGATAACTGAGGGCAACAGGCAAGCGGCACTGATTGGTCAACCTATACAGTCATGTGCTCATGTTTCTGATTGGCCTATTTCGATCCACAACTGGGTATATATATTTCTTAGCGTAGAGTTTTCGATCTATGTTCTGACGTTTTAAACTCTGAAGAGTGTCAGACGAAAAGCTTTAGTTTACTAAATGTTTGCTTTTTTCAAAGCCATTTACAAGTTTTGTACCACCAAAAGATTGTTTGCATAACTGAGGGCATTATTTACCTATTCAGCAAAAACAACAAGCATTACCTAACATATCAGCAGCTATTGCAACTCCTCCATTGAACTTTACACCAAGAACTGATGTACCGGTCACTAGAGGCTGCCTAAAAGGGTAAACAAAAATGCAACAAATCATCATCCCTTTTTTGTAAATGATGTCTTTTTAAAGTTATATCTTTTACTCGTGATGTAATGAACATTTATGTTCATAGCAGGTCTATATCAGCTATTTTTGAGCTCCCATACACTCGAAACTACTTGTGAAATAAAAAATGTATGCATTTATCTATCATTTGAAGTCTCATCTGAAGCATAGAATCATCATAATAACAGTATAGAATCTTGTACAATTTCTGAAAACTATAACTGATTGAACATTCCAGTTTCTAATGTTAAAAATCTTTTGATGTTCCGCGACTGTACAGTTAAGTTTTTATTCAAACATTTAACACGCGCTACAGAACAGTCAGAGGACCTTGGGAGGACGGTTCTCTAAAAGTTGCTACTCCGAGTTTCACGTTTTTATGAATAACTATACTCACATGGTACGAGTAACCCCAAGTTCTGGTCTTGATAGTTGGTGGTGTTCTGCTGACATTTTGCCACCAATATTTGGCTCGAACGACATAAAATCTTCTCTGGACATCATTCTAATTACTATCGCAAGCCTGCAGTGTTCAGACAAGAAAACAGTAAGGACCCACCTTATAAAGACCTTGTTCACCTTAGTCTCACTTATGTTTGTGCTGACATCATGCTGCCTCCTTTCGAAAGTGTGACGTCATCAAAAATCTATTTAAGAATTTTTTAATTACAATTTCTACTGAATTTCAATTGAATTTCTACATAACATTAAATATCATTTCAACCAAATAACATGAAATTGGTTGAGATATGGCAAATTAACGATTTGAAGTTTGCTAACGAATCACTGTTATTTTGCTCTGTTGATAAAGTTATGAACAGAGACCAAAATACAGAGGTTTAATGGGGAAAGAGCCAATACACATGTAGCCATATCTCTGCAAATTCGTAACACATTTGATTGATTTTTGCAGACAATCTTTTGGTGGTAAAAAACTTGAAAATGGCTTTGAAAAAAAGCAAACATTTAGTCAACTATTAGTTATTTTTAAATGGATTTTTGAACCTTTATCCGTTAGGAACCTGCTATTCTCAGGTCTTCCAGGTTTGAAACTTTTTATATTCTTTATTACATTCCAAAGCATTAAATGTTATTTTTATGTCCATCAAAGTATTGATGGTAGTAATTCTTTTACTCTCTCTCATTTCCTTTTCAGTGCAACTATCAATGTTACTTTGAGAAATTCGGGAATTTCGCTGATTTTAATTTCTAGAATAAATAACATTTGATATTTATCTTTCTCCGTATGTGGCAGTTAATCCATGGTTTATTTGCTAACTTTAGAGCTGACGTCATAGTATTGTTTACGATGGTTGGCGGCAAGAAAAGTTTTAGAATTATGGTGTCTTAGAAATGGCCAGAAACTGTATCTAAAATTGATGTTGGCTGAAGGAAAATCCGTGGCAATATATTTAAGCTTTGTTTTATCAACATGTCTCATAGTCTAGTTTATTGTAATGTTGACCTGAAATAGGAAAGTTCTTGCAAAGTTTTAGAATAACCTTTATAATGTTGCTCGTAATGAAACTTAGTTTTCGATTTAAAAATACCAAAAATAAGATGGAGGAAAAAAATAGATGAAACACGGTTTAATAAAAAACAAAATGAAATATCAACAGAAGAATTTTCAACTAAAAGCAAAATTAAGCATTTTTGTACAGTCGGAAAATTATTTGACAAAATCTGATCTTAAAATTTTTGGAAACAAACTGTTTTTCACAAAAAGACTCTAGATTTGAAAAACTTTGAAACTGGGCCGATTAAAACTAGTTTCCATGGAATTTATAACTGAATCTAGATTTTCTCTTTTTTAATAGGAATGGATTATCAAATCGATCAAACTTGAAGAACAAATCTGCCCGCTCTTCTCTCTCATATCCTCAAAAAGTTTCTTTGCAGCTCTTTCTTTTCCTTCAACAGCTGACTTCTCTCTTGTTGTAATGTTTCTGAGAAAATTTTAATTAACAAACAGTTAACGAACAAATAGTTACCAAGTTTGGCTATAGAAAAGACGAAACTCCGTCAATTTGTGCTGGCACCAAGTTATTCTGGATCAGGTTTCTTGATCTATTTCCTAAGCCAAATGTTACTCGTTTGACAACTTGGACAATGACCGATTTCTTCGATCAAATTCCAATATTCGATTTTATATATGTTTTCTATGATAAAGTCATAGCAACCAAGCTAAAACTGAGGGCATATTTTAGGGATTACTTATCAGGGTAACTTAGAGAACGATGTAGAACATTTTTTCCACTTTTGCCTCAACAATTTCTTTTGCCCTGCAGAAAATTGGGGGCCCCCCAGTTTCGCCGGCCCTGTTCTTTGAAGGGGGCGTTGACCAGGCACCCAGGACGATGAGACGGGCTCACCTACCACCTACAGAGGTAAAATCTAGCTTTACAAAGGTAAAGTAGATTTTAAATTACTGTTAAGATTATTATTGACGATTTCGCTTATTATCCCTTTAAAACCTCATTTACACTGACCACTTTGGAGCCCTGTGAAGTACACCATGACGACAATTTGTTTAAAGCTTCTCAAGAGGACAGCCAACTTGAAGGGGAATACAAAAATATCTGATACTCGTCGTGACAATGACAAGACAGTCAAGGATACCCGGTTATGGCAACAAAGGATTCGACTAGCTCAGGTATTATAATCTAAAACAACCACGGCTAAGGATTGACTAGGGTAGACTTTTAAAACCATTAGGCCTATATCTACCTACCAGACCTTTCTCCAAAACGGACTTCTGATTTGAAATCATCATCTTGAAATTATTTCATACTGAAAGTTTCATGTTGTTTGGACCGTTTGATTGCGAGTTTGTTTTGAATATTTAGATATTTCTTTAAATTTAACCGTGGTTTGCTCCTGTATTGAAATAATTTCACTACAGCAACAAATTAATTCCATTGAAATGTATAGCAAAAGCAAAATGTTGAAAATGGGGTAGCTCACTGTCTGACAGACGAAACAACATGAAATTTTCAGTTCAGTTCAGTTCATTTATTCGTTTTAAATTCCACTACATATAGACTCTAATATTAAACTACCTACAACATTTATAATAAATAGAATATAACAAAGATTTGAAAATACACTAGAGGATTAGCATGAATGGAAATTCTTAAGGAGGAACTCTCTCAGTAGCAAAGCTAATCAAGGAGAGAGCAGCCCCTTTTAAGATAATAATTTCAGAAACTGTATGCATAAATTATGACTGTCTATATTACACTTTCAATAATTATTTTCAAAGAAATCGGTTCTGAGCTTAGAACGAAAGACACTAACAGATGGTGACTTAGAACGAAAGACCTTTCAATATTTACAGGCATAGCCTATTCTAAAGGAAATTTGCTGCCGGAGCAACTCTTTGTTTATATAAAGAGGAGGACACTAGCCTACTGTTTAAAACAATAGAAAGTCACTTTGGCTGGAGTGGCAATTGCCCCCCTGTTTAGTATGTTAAAAAAGGCCCTGTTTATAGGAATGTTATTCCAGCCCTTTGCTCCATAGTAGCTTACTGATCTGAGACCGTATTGACTGGTGTTTTTCAGAGTTAGAAAGATATCATCCTTGCCAGACTGTCTTGTACCATATTGATGAACAGATTCCAAAAAGGTTATAGAAACAAGTAGGAGAGATTTTATGAACAGGTTCATATTCGAAACAAAGCAATTTTAACTGAAAAAGATCATGCAGCTTTAGGATTTTTAAATTGGAAAAGATAGGACCAGAATGAAAAGTAAAGTGTTCAAAAGAAATTGCCATTATAATCCTTTTTCTGTAACAAAAAAACTGGATTAATGTCGGATTTTCGGCACAAACCTTATAAAAGTTAGACTTCTCACCTTGCCACACATAGTTTCTGTATTTCCTTTCTTTGTGTATATATTTTTTTTGTAAGATGAGCATTTATTGTCCTCATAAGCAACTGTATTGTTACAAATTGGAAACAAATATTTGCTGTTAATTTCCAGTTTCTTAGTGGTCAAAATTGTCCTGGAAATGTAAAATGACCTGATCACTGTTAAATAATAAGGGTACAATAGAAGCAGACTGCATTGTTTATGATACATAGATATCATCTTGATTATAATTGACTTAAAACCTCACAAAAATCTCATTCTCAAACCACAAAATTTAACACCATACCGATAATATGTTAATTTTTTTCTCAAGTTGGTCTTACCCACCATTTCAGTATTCCTCTCAATGATCCTTAGCACACCTCTAAAAACAGGAAGTAAATTGTTTATAATCAGGTGCAAAATTTTATTTCTGTTTGCCAGAGATGGTTCATTCGAAATATTTCCTACAATTGTCATCTTCATTGTGCCATAAACATTAGGGTGGTCAGAGCTGCACCAACATTTTTAGGGCCCCCTTGCCCAAGCATAGACAGGAACATAAAACTGAAATAAAAGAAATTTCATGAATTGTTGAAAATTTGTTGAAAACTGAAGGCTTTGCCTCTGTTGCTGCAAACAATTTGATTAATCAAATCAAAAAATACATTTCTTGCAATGTAATGAAAAATATGATAAATTACAATTTTTTGCTCAATTTTTTACCGATAGATATATGTTCTTAATCATCACAAAATACCTTGATTTACTTACTACCCAAGGTGGCACCATGATTGCCGTCAAAGGGTGAGAAAATTTTGAATATTATCGAATATTAATTGCGAATATTAAGTGTTTTCAGCTTGGAGGTAAATGTAAATGCATTCCTTGAACAATTTTTACCTGTATACAATATAATTGGATGGGTTTGTAAGTTAGTAAGTAACTTAATTCACTCTTTTAGCTTTATCAGGTGTGAAGTTGTTTTTAAGTGTAAGTTTTCAATGAAGTCACCTATCTGATATTAATGGATTTTCATCTGTCTTCAACAGGCGAAGACTGTGATGTTATTAATGTTACTGACAATAGTTTGGTAAGTAAGAAAATTTTGCATATACCCAATTTTCCTATCATAGAGAGGCCTGTGTGTCTATAAGAAGGAAATCACATTCCTCAGATTCGTAAACAATTATCTATATAGTGAGTAGTCTACTCATATTGATGTGCATGCGCCTGTGTAATTTACTGAGGACATCCATAATCCTCAAGCGTTGGGTGTTTTAAAAGATGGTTGGTTGGTCCATCACATGAAAACGTAAGTTCAAGCACGAGTTAACGATTTAAGTTACTAGAAAATACATTGATTGATTATTATTGAGAAAATACATGATCAGGCCTTCTTTGTTGTCAATGAGATGCATTGTCAGCTTTTGCATGTGATTCCGTAAACAGTGAGTGTTCATTGTTTTTGGAAAGTAAAGTTAGCTGACCTTAATCAATAGGCCATTTCATGGGAAGCTTATTCAGGACATGAAAAACCACTGGACCATGTGACTGCGCGGTCGCAGGAAATTTTTCACGAATACAATTCTACGGGAATTTTTTAAAATACACAATTTTGCAAAAAGCACCTTTGTTTCTTTCATGTTCATCAAAAGAAAAATATTAAAACAAAACAAATGTAATATATGCATGATTTTTATCTTGTTGCAAAAAGGACAATTTTTTCGTGCCCTGAGCTCAATTTTCTGCCTTTTAATGTTTTCTTTTTGGTTTTTTTAATATATTCACTTTCAACTTTGAAAGTTCATATGTCGCAAAAAGGACAATTTTTTCGTGCCCTGAGCTCAATTTTCTGCCTTTTAATGTTTTCTTTTTGGTTTTTTTAATATATTCTCTTTCAACTTTGAAAGTTTCATATGTGTGTATTTGTCTCCATGCCCTAAAACACTCATGATATTCTCTACAATCTCAAATCTCATAAAGTCTAGCGCAAACAAGACATTAAAATTTACAGATAAAGATTTGAGGACTTTGAAGGAGACAGCTACTACATTGTTGCCATCAAAGCTCAAAGCTGCCATGATATCTTGATTCTTTGTTTTTGCTTTGGCCCTTTGACACACACCCATTGACATCGCAATGATTTTCGTTTATTTTTCAGCCACCAAACTTTTTGTATTACCCCTCTATAAATATACCATGTTCCTTTGCATGTTGCTGTCCCCGCTCCTTATACAATGTTTTCACAGTTTTTATGTTCACGTTTTTTGCAGGAGCTTCTTTTAGATGAAGACGCCACGTTCATCGACTTTTTCAATGCATTTTTGGCCCTACCGGTAATGATTTTGATATAGCAGGAAATCATAGCCTTTTTTTTCCTCCTTCGTGTCTGAGTATAAACGTCCGATAAAGCTGGAGCCAACTCCTTGCATTATTGAAGCAGTGAGAAACAGTGGTGGAGCCTCTCCCCTTCCTCCACCTTTGTGAAAATATGGTCTACATATTTCTTCAAAAAACGGATTAAAAAGCGCTGGGTAGGGGTAGATTAAATTTCCTAAGGAAACTTTAACTGGTACAAATCACTAAAACGGGGCAAATGAGGTGTGGTCCCACTGGCTGCGCCCATTACCCTCCCACTATACAATAATTGGCACCGCCACTGGAGAGAACGAAATCTTTCTGTCCACGAAAGTCAAGGGTTTTTTTGTTTAATGAAGAAGTATTCACAAACGCTTTAATGAAAGATACACCTGCTTGCCAAATGCTTTTAGAATCGTCGCCATTATATGTTTTGGTGTGCTGAATGCTCGAGCAAATGTTGACATGTAGCTGAGCTGCATTTATCTGAGTTGCATTCTCGATTTCATTTCCTGTCTGCTCATGGGAATAAGCTGCTTTATTCTATCCTGTCCTGTTTTGTAATTTTTGCAATTTATTCAGCCCAATGGTCCAACAAGATCCCTACACCTAGGAACAATAGTTGAATATAAATGGATATAGTCCTGGATTATAAATTTACCTTTGGTCATTATTTATCGAGCGAAACGTTCTTCTGTATGCTATATTTCGAAACGTTCTTTTGTTACGCCATCTTGAAATGATGATGTTTTGTTCTTATGGATCTTATGAAACATCACAAGCAATTTGTTTATATGCCACTGATTATGTTCCTTGTGTAGACATTCCCTGTTCGATTGCATTATAATGGAGACACTGGATGTTTCGAGGAGTTTAAGCACAAGCTAGCTGACGATGTCTTAGACAACAATGCAAAGCAAGCAGCTTTGCTCAAAAGATGTCCTTTTTTCAAGAGTACGATCGACGAAAGAGGATTTAAAATTGGTTATTACGTCAAGGTAATTTTTCATTAGAATCATTTTTCATAATCTTTTTTGAAAGAATTTTTTAAACATTACAGAATTTTTTCGAAGGAATTTATTTGTGTTGTTTTTCATCTTTAATTTTTTTTTATTTTCCAACATACAAGTTGGTGCTTGATGAGTAAAGGTAAATCAGTAGTATGTCACTAACCGCGTGTCTTTTCTTCATTTTGGATAATTTGTATCATTGTCACTTAGTACCATTGTCACTTAGTATTATTGTCACTTAGTACCATTGTCACTTAGTATTATTGCCACTTAGTATTATTGCCACTTAGTATTATTGTCACTTAGTACCATTGTCACATAGTATTATTGCCACTTAGTATCATCTTCATTTAATAATATTGTTGTCACTTAGTACCATTGTCACTTAGTATTATTGTCACTTAGTACCATTGTCACTTAGTATTATTGCCACTTAGTATTATTGCCACTTAGTATTATTGTCACTTAGTACCATTGTCACATAGTATTATTGCCACTTAGTATCATCTTCATTTAATAATATTGTTGTCACTTAGTATTATTGCAAACCTGTATCATTTTCACTTAGTACCATTGTCACTTAGTATCATCTTCACTTGATATCATCTTCGCTTACTATTATTGTTCCTTAGTATCATTGCCACTTAGTATCATTGTCAGCAATAATAGAAAAGCTATGCAGATAATAAAAGTTTACATAAAATTTGCTTCCTAAATTCATTCTGTTTCCCTGCAATTTCGCTAACGAAGACTTGATCAACTCATCACCTCATGATTTTTTGTGTGCTTCTTTGCACTTTCGTTGAATTCACTTTAAGCTCATCAAACACTGATTATTTTAATTTTAACGCTGGTTTTTATGTTAATATTCAGTTCCTGGAGCGAGATGAAGGGATTATCTGGATAAAAGAAAACAGACTGCCTCTTTTTCTAAGGAGTGATCTGTATGCAGAATACAAACTGGCGCGGTTTTTGTCGATTGCACAGGTAAACCCACTTTCTCTTCTGCTTTTCCTGCTATTTTAGGTTATTCAGGGGCTGAAACATTCCAGTCCTTGCAATTTTGTTATTGAAAACCCTAGCAGGGCTTTCCCATACTCTATTCTTTAGCATTCTTTGTTAGTTTTTATCTAACGTTGTTAAAGTTTTGAAATTTAATAACCCCGTTTGCTTTTTTATTCAGACGGACTACCTTGTGAATATCCTCGTTGATTGGATGAGTCTACAAAAAGCTGCATTCGACAGCCGATCATTTCCCGAAGACTTGATCAACTCATCACCTCATGATTTTTTGTGTGCTTCTTTGCACTTTCGTTGAATTCACTTTAAGCTCATCAAACACTGATTATTTTAATTTTAACGCTGGTTTTTATGTTAATATTCAGTTCCTGGAGCGAGATGAAGGGATTATCTGGATAAAAGAAAACAGACTGCCTCTTTTTCTAAGGAGTGATCTGTATGCAGAATACAAACTGGCGCGGTTTTTGTCGATTGCACAGGTAAACCCACTTTCTCTTCTGCTTTTCCTGCTATTTTAGGTTATTCAGGGGCTGAAACATTCCAGTCCTTGCAATTTTGTTATTGAAAACCCTAGCAGGGCTTTCCCATACTCTATTCTTTAGCATTCTTTGTTAGTTTTTATCTAACGTTGTTAAAGTTTTGAAATTTAATAACCCCGTTTGCTTTTTTATTCAGACGGACTACCTTGTGAATATCCTCGTTGATTGGATGAGTCTACAAAAAGCTGCATTCGACAGCCGATCATTTCCAGCTTACAGGGTCCGTAGAAATCATGGAAGACTCCCAGGTCTGGCCGAATTTCAGAAACAACTGCAATCGTTGAAAGAAGATCATTGCGATGAAAGCGTAGCCAAATCTCAAGTATGATTTTTTCTTGATATGTGACTAGGCGCGAATAATATCTTACTTCCATGGCAAGTGTTTACGACAGTGACAAGTCATTGCTATCAGCGCAGCCCTGAGTGATTTTATTTTATCAAAGAATCAGATTGACGGTAGCTTCACTCTACCTTTTGTCAAAGCCCACTGGCCAACCGTGTTTTGCAATGCCTTAAAGTATTGTCTAAATGATAATATCAGATGCATATGGAAAAATGCTGACGTAGAGTACTGTCTAACTGAACAGCCATACTCCTATTGAAAATTAAACCAAAAGCGGCAAATTTTCTGGGCCCTCATTTCATTTTCTGGACCTTACCGGGAAATTATATTGAAGTCAGCCTCTTTTGCAGAGTAATCTAGTAGAGTTGGAGGCACTATGGCAGAGCAGCGAATGTTCAACCGGAACATTTATCTACTTATTTAGAGAGAAATTTTAACAAGAGGCCTTCAGTAGTTAGGGTCTGAAATTGTTGTATATAGCGTTCTCTCGTCACCAATTTCTGAAAATTGTTCATCGCCCCTACTACCAACTGCCCCTCCTTCAAATTTGCTATGGAAATTATCACTTCATTGCAAAAAGCTAGCTAATGCCACTCTCTCTGCGAAGGATTTCGTATAATTTATTTTTCTTGTTTGAGCCATTTTTTTTTCCTGGTATGTCTTTTCTGTTTGTCAATATGTTCTGCTAAGACTGGATTGTGTGAGAAGCTGATACCCGGGTTCCGTTCTTTTAGCAGCGCAATTTTGCTCTACTTTTAATAATTTTACCCCCAAACAACAAGAAGATAAATCAAACCAAGAGAATAAAATTTTAAGTTCATCAAAGCTTTCCTATATATAGTTTTTTTCATTTTTTTATTCTCTAATATATCCTGCTGTGTATTTCAATCTTTTTTTTCTAAGTAATTATTCTTTCTCATATTGTAATTGAGTAGGAACAGACTTCCAACTCTCTATGTAAATTTACTGCGAAAGTATAGATTTATAGATAAGTGCTCTTTTGATTATCGTATTCATATTCTGCAGGATTCGAGCTGCGATAACGAGTCCGATGTATCTGATCTTGAAGTTCCAGAGGTTCTTGAATCCCACGCAAGAAGATCTACTTACTTTGAGCGTAAAAGCAACGATGCGAGAGAATCAGAAAGTCGCTCAGTGTCTCAATCTTTTCGTCAAACATCTTTAGTTGAAAGTAAATCAAAGAACGGTGAAGATGTTATCCAGCCAACAGGTGAAAACTCTGGGATTGTTTGCAAAAACTGCCAGGATGAATCAGAACAGGATGTTTGTGAAAAGGGCGATGCGGAAGGCTGTAATCTGGGAAAATGTGCTCACGTCACAACGGAATCGGATAATGCATCTTGTGACAAATCTGACAGTGTTCATTTTCTATCAATGTTGTGTTCATTAAGAAAAAGTTACACTGATGTTGCAGGTCAGCCAAAGCTTGCATTTCTGGAAACTGATACACAACCGGAAAGTGATCCACAACCGGAAAGTGATCCGCACCCGGAAAGTGGTCCACAACCTGAAACTGATCCACAACCGGAAAGTGATCTACAACCGGAAAGTACAAACAGAGATTTGGATGCGTTTGAGAACGTTATTGACCAATCTGCAGAAATTTATGGCAATCCACAGAGTATAAAAGCCTGTATAGGATCGGCTAATATATCTCCTGCTGGTTCAGCATTTGATAATAAGTCACTAGCTGATGCTGGCCCATTGATTGGACCAATGGGTACAGAGCATAGAAATTTAAACGTCAAAGTTTCCGAAGCTACCATTGAAACTCGAAATGTAACATTGGAATCTCTCGGTGGAACAGATTATGCTGAATTGCATGACAATAATTTTGAACATATTGATATAAAAACCCGTAACGGTTCTTCTGAAAAAAATCAAGTAGAATCCCATACTGCTAAAACTATACTGGAAAAACGATATTCTTTGCCATTCTGTGAAACAAGTAACTTACGCGAGCTTAAAGGAGAGCTTCCAAAGTATGGATTTGAAAATTCACGGCGCCAGTCCTTGCCCTTTGCTTCGTTTTTGCCATTTTTTCGAAAGCAGTCGATAAATTCTATTTCATCAAACGAGTCAAATATGCGATGCTTCAGCAGTTTTCTTGTGCAAAATTCATTCGAACTGTTAGATAAAGACACCCAGGATACCTTGAGGTCGTTTTACGAAGATTCAGGTATTTTTCATTTAATACAAACAATGCTTTTTATTTGGTAATCGAGAGGTTGCTTTATTTTGTCTCTTCTTCCAATGAATGTTTTTATGTTTTCGAAACGTTTAACTTTTTGAGAAGCAACTTAAAGCCAAGCTGTGATTGATAAGTTTTTCACCTTCTGTTTTGAGGCACAAGCAATTCCTGAATCGTTTAACAAACATCGCAACCTACACTGCTTCGTTTCCATCGACAACCTCATCTGTGACTACTAAATACCTATAAAACACTCTTTTTTGCCAAAGCATCTGAAGAGACAAAAGACAAGACAATAGACAAAAGTATTTCTTGAAACTAATTCAACATGTATTGTTTGTCATGAAAAGCCGTTTAGAAAGAAGTCGTTCGGTGTGAGGGGAGCCTTAAAATTAGTTGCTAAGATATAACAATGGATAATCTGAAACTGTCCATCTTAAAATCCACAGGATTGAATATAAAACTTGAGAAGCAAAAAACTCACCGTCTAAAAATGTTCAGATGCATATGGAAGTTAGATATTCTTTATTCTCAACCCGTTCTGGCCATTGCAAAAAAATCATTGCTCTTTTGACATTCTTCTCAATTATGAAGACAATGTTAATTCCATAGCCAACATTAAATGTTTTCAGATTCTGACGATGGTGATGATCATTGCGCACAAACTGAGAGTAAAAAAAGGAAGCCAATCGATATTGCAACAAAACTTGGCATGGATGCTTTCAAGTTTTTTCTGGCTAATACACATGGCGAGAAATTGTTTATGCTGTGGATAGAAATTGAAAAGCTTAAATGTTGTGGTGATGCCACCGAGCAACACAGGTTTGGGACGTTCTTTTGTGGAATCAAAGCCAGTTGTGTAGTGAATTTTCCTTTTAGTCCGTCAACGTTTTTAGCTACTCTGTTATTCAATGTTATTCATGTTCATTGGTCTTCTTTCTTCGTTTGATCTTGGATGCTTCTTTTCAACTTACAGCATGCTGCAAGAAATCAGACAGCGTTTTTTCAGAAGTGGGTCTGCACATGAAATTACCAATGCAACTTTGAACTCATGGAACATAACCAAAATCAGCGATATTGATCGCACTAAACTATTCAGCATACAGGCTATGGTTCTGACACCTCTCAAGTCCTACTGGTAAGTAATAATTAATAAGTAAAGATTAAAGTTAGAGATTATGAAACAAGGGACTGTGGTACTCCAAACTCAATCTGACTAACAAGGCTCTTTACTGTTAATAATTGTCGATTGTAAATTTCGGCGTTAATGTTGCTGATAGACTTAGTGTAGAATTTGTAGTTTATTTTGGCGGTTTCTTAAAATCTTTTGATTTATATTAAATGATTTGACCTAGTCAAAATGAAACATTTCTTGCTGAGCTACCCTTTGAAGGGAAGATTGTCTTTCGCTTAAAGGAGATTGTTCAGCTGGCTCTAATTTTTAGTAAGATCAACTACAAACGTTTGCTGTGACAACCATAACACGTGCAATGAGAAAAACAGATATCAGCAACTCGCCTCTGCTCCATTGCATACAATAAAGTAAAAATCATAAGCAAAGGCTATATCGGACATTTGATGTTGTAATTCAGCAGAATAAGTTAATGATCCTGCATTGTTTGCCAGTGTATCATTTTTGTCATTTAATTGATGCAATGTTTTTTTGCAAATTATCTTGTTCAGACAATTGTGATGCGCCTCAGAATTTGATAAAATATTGCTTGGTACTGATAGAGGACAAGAAGCTCTGATTTCCGTGGAGATTCTTACCACATTGTACTCTTTCACAATTTCAATAGTTTAATATCGACTTCTTTGAAAATATTTTAATGCCCTATCGTGTCTGAAATTTTCTGCATTCACTTCTTTTTGGGTGCTCTAAAGCTTCTGCGTTTATAAGGACGGCCACTCTATCCTTTGATCTTATCTTTAAAACGGGTGGGGTGAGGGGCATTGCTGCATCTTTAAGATTGACCATAGGTTGAAGCTTAGAAACCCCTGACTTAGTTCTTGTCAAGTCTTCTTTATGAGATCATTCTAGCTTAAACTTTTGCCGATGCATTTAACCTGAAAACCTGAACGGTAAATAGAGCTCGGGGATATTCTTTGTCATATTGGGTAGGAGTTCCTTCAATAACAATATTTGGTAGGTGTTTGCTATAAAAACGTTGTTATTATAATTATTGATTTATTTCATTTTCATGGTTAGATGGCATTTTTTGCTGAATATCTTAGATTTCATAGCTGTAATGGAAAGTTTCGTGCATAACTTGACGATATTTTAAAATTTCGGTTTTTATACGAGATGTATTCTTTGCAGGTGTGCAAGATTTACACTCCATCAGAAGCACAAGCAGCATTCGCATGAAACTGAATTTATTTCCGAAGATCACAACTGTATGAAGACTAAATGTAAGACACATAACAAAGAAATGACGGATGTACCTCAGCGGCCAAACACCTGCTTCCCAAACATGAGAACAAGGAAAGAAGTGCAAGATACGGTGAGATACTGCATATTTCCTTGTTTCTGGAACGTTTCTAGAACGTTTGGAAACATAGTTTTCCCTCGATATTTTGCTTGCTTATGTTCATTCAAATTTATTAAACTTTACAGGCTCATGGCACGTATAACAACTAACAATCAGCATTTAAATGGCCATCTATAAATCAATTTGTACTTTGTTCAACTGTTGCAACATGACAGATCTTTTGTATTTTGCGTGCTTTTAACTGTAACTCTTTAATTCAAAGACATATCGAGCTTTAGTTCCAATAATTCAGATGTGTAACTCTAATATTTTATAGGGCACGAGTAGCAAATCCATGTATATCGAAGCTAATCACAACGTCACAACTGATTCAAGTTCTCACAACAAAAGAACGCGAAGCAAATCAGCGTACTCCCGGCTTGTTACAACTCCTAACCCCAAAGATGTCAACCTCAGCCAAAAGCAATTACAGGTATCTTTCCAAATGGCCTCGTTGTCTTTGAAACAATTGAACCGACCAATATTGAACATAAACTAGCAACTTTTACATATAACTTAAATTTTTTTCGAATTCAATTACCTGTTGTCTTTAAAAGTTTAAGAAAAAAGAAAAACTTTTTTTTTCATCATGTTTCGGCTTTGAAAGTCTTTTTGTTGTTTTTTTGGCTTTGCAAGTTTAATTAACATACGACTAACTGTAAAGATGATTATTTTAATTTAGGTTATTTTCTGATTTCTGCTCGCTCAACAAGTAAAGATGTATTGTAAACTTTGACAGATCTGGTGAAAGTTATACTAGAAGCCTACATTTTTCATGTTTTTTTATAAACATTTTAATAGAACTTTGTGAAGCCAACATCTGAAATGTTATGTGCTATCTAGATGTAAATCTGCCTTCTAATTTCTGTTTAAATTCTGTTTAATTTCTGTTAACAGTCATAATATCTTGCATGATCAAATGTCTTGCATGTTTTGTAGATGGTAACAACCATGGACGAGAGCTGTGGCTTCCGTTATAGTCCTTACAGCTCCTTCAAGAACGATGCTTCCAGTTCCAACGACAAGGCCTATATTCGTCTCTATATCCAGCCAATGCCGCCAGCCAATTGCAGAGCCACAACAGTCGTAAGGTATCCTGCAACTATGCGCCTCTTTTAAACAATCAAATTGAAAACGTGCTTCATTGCCAATTTGCTCTAGTCTTAGTCATAATAATAATCATAATAATCATGCTTTGTTATGAGATGTGCTTTATCTACTCCATAGATCATGCAGAAAACTCCAAAATGATGGAGGAAATGGAAATTTGCTTACGGATTCCTTAGTGGATTGCTTGTTGCATGAAAAGCATAGTGGCAGCTATTTTTTCAGACAGTTGCTAAACCAAGATGACGAGGCACGGCTAGATTTTGTTTCATTTTTTCCTTCTTTTAATGATCATTTTTTAATTAATCATCATTAGATCTACTATATATCTTCTGCTTTTTATATAACTTCTTGATGTTGTGTCCATAGTCTGAAGATTTAAATATCAAGAATATTTTAGCAGACTGCTGCCAACTGCAAGCGAAGGCGCTCTTCCCTTCTTGGCAATATCATGTTCCCTTTTGTAAATCGTTAGAAAAGAACGTTCTACTCCACACTCTATAACTATTTTAGAACATAGTTGACTAACGAATTTAAAAAAGGAAGGTATTATCATTTGAGCTTCGGAGTTCAAAAAGGGAACACAAGACATCTCCCTGGCTTTTAAATCCACTCAGATCTGATGGCGCCTTCACATAAAACTATTTTTTGTTTGTTTGTAAGCAACAGCTTTGTAGGCCATAGTTTTCTAATGTTTCTAAAGCACTTTTTTCTACCGGTTTATCGTACATAGATTAAACACAAATAATAAGGAGAATTTCTTAGGTACATCAGAATCATTGATCGTCGTCAAAAATTTAAACTGCATAAAACATTGTATCAGCGAAACACTAAATTAAACCTTGAATGCAAAATAGAAATAACTTGTGTATATTTTGTTGTTTATTTCTAGCATGCCTTGAACTGTTACAACTTCTGGAAAGCAATTCAAGATTACACTGAGCATTTCTTTTCGGAGAGCTTCAGTGCCACGTTGATAAAACAAAAAGCCGGGGTAAGCCCAAAACAAGTTGACATCACCTCGCTTTTTAGCCAATTCTATCAATTTTACTTTCAGTTTGAATATCACAGCTAATTATTGTAACTATCCTTCCTTCAATTGTTTCGAAAAATTTTTGTGTAGACGTGAGCATTTACCGCAAGGGAAGCTATAGCGGTGCTACCCTTTGCGTAAGTAAGCTCCGGGGTGCAGTTTAACGCCACAGCCATATCAGCCCACCCAATAATTGGAAAACTGTGGTATGTTCTTTTTATAACAGTGTACTGAATGAAAAGGAAAAAAATGGGCACCCCTCCCCCGCCCGGCTAGGCACTGTAGGCTAGCTTCTAGAAATCGCTAAGAACATCTACTGACCTAACGTGGCCGAAAATATTCCCTAAAAACGAACATAAATGTGTTATCGTGTAGAGGTGCTAGGTCTTCCATATTTTAGAAGGGTTTTACGATAGTATGTATAAATAGGTTTTACATTTTTGTAATATGATATTATTTTGAAAACTTTATAATAGAGGGCCACTTTGAAGTCCTCATTGCTGAAGGGTCACACTCCTAAGACACATGAAATAAAGTTATTTTGTGTAGTGAAATAAACTGATGTCGTTAGTCTTGTTAATCTTGGATCAAATTTTTGTGATATGTACGACCAATTTTCAGAAGTTTTTATACATTTTTTTCTTCCATCGTTTTTACACAAAACCAAGTTTATCGCTCTCTCAGAGACATTTGTATTGTTTGTAAAAAAACATTCTATTCTCTAATAATAACAAAGTAAAGCAATCCTTGCCATATATCTATTTTTAGTTTGGTTTTTAATTTGGCTAGTTTGGTTTTCCATGAAGACAGAAATGTTGTATCTTTCATTATTTGAATAAATTTTCTGCAAACGTTGATTTTGAAGCATATCTTTAGCACGGTAATGTTCTCTAGGTAAAACGTTGGAAAATGTTTGCAAAGACGTAAATAGCTATTTTGAGAAACATTTATGTAAACAATAAACGGATTTACTCAACTTTCTTCTTGTAGTTTATATTCAATACATACATTATTGATGGCGGTGAAAAGAGTATTCGATGTGCTCCAGAAATTCGAAAAGAAATTTATGATGCTTTAGATCCACCATATGAAGATTTATTCGACCAAGCAGAGCAATACGCACTTGAAGTCCTTTCGCACGCATACAAAAACATTTTTTCTCATGAAAGCGACAAATACGAACAGGTAAAAACTATGAACACTTAAAGTTAGACATTTAAATATTTTTGGATGGTACATAATTTTAAAATAGCTTTGAAAAAAAAACATTTTCGCACGTACTGTAAGACGTTTTTTGTTTGAAACTTCTTCAGAAAGAATAATACCTAACATATGATACTGTCTTCGGGCAACATTTTACTAGCAAACCAAGATTTTGCAAAAAAATTATTGCAACATTGGCAGAGCAAGGCCATCGTTCCATCTAGCGGTTTATGAAAATGAAAATTAAAATCGCCAATTTGTGAAGATAGGATAAGTTCTTTTGTACCCTTGGATTCTAAAGGCAATATTGTATATAGTCATGCACCCATGTGAGGCAATTTTGCAATATTGCGATGTACTCGCGCTTCTTATCTACCTATATCGACCCACAACTTTGAACTTCTAAACTTCCACGTTCGTTTCGTATTCTGACGTTTTTAAAGTAAACATCGCTAGATGAAAAGCATTTATATCTCTTTAAAAGTCTCTGTCTTCTTTAAAGCCATGCAATTTTAGAAAATTCTCACGAAGAGTTGAATTTCTGGAAATGATTCTAATTTCTTTGATAAATCTAGTTTTAAAAGAATTAAATCTTGTCTTAGATTTTATTGTTACATTAAAAATTTTCATATCTACTTTAGACTTTGTTAAATACGAGTTTGTTTTCCAGGTAAAGAAGATTGAGAAGCTCAAGCATCTTGACATCCGGTCAAAATTGAAAAGACCGAAGCACCGGCCCTATGAAAAGGTTTGTTTTGCTTGTTGTTTCTGCAAATGAAATGCGTTTTGCAGCACGATTCTATGTTAACATTTTTTGGACAGGACGGTCGAGACTGGTATTCTTTTTCGAATAGTTGGGCCTAACAACAAATTGCACAAATTGAAAAGTTGCACCGCCGACAGTTTAGCTAATAGCGATGATTATAGTGAGCTGTGAAAATTTTCCACCAAATTCTGATTTTCCTGACAATACAGTAGTTAATAGATACTGAAATGAGCTTGTGATTTCATTTTATCCTTTATAAAAAGTATTCTTATTTACAAGGTATTTATTTCACTCTTTTTTACTACCCTTCCTTTATTTTTTGAGGAACCAAATGAAAATTAAAAGCATATTCTTACCGTATTTTGACACCCTGATTTAGAGACTTCCTTATTCTAATGAAGAAAGCAATAGACCTTTCCCCTAATAACGTCATGACGCAATGCATTCTGGTACTTGTAGTTAAACCCGCGAACATTTGTTTTTGATTTGTTTGACTTTTTGCGTTGAATAAAAACAGAACTTCAACCGATCGCCGTACAATACATAAACAAATGTTCGCGGGTTTAACTACAAATACCAGAATGCATTGTGCCATGACGTAATTAGGAGAAAAGAAGAAAAGTCTTTGATTAGAGAAATGGAATTTAAGCCAACGATGGTTTCTATAATTGGGCAAGCAAGGCTGTCTTTCGTTGTTGGTTTTAGGAACATATTTGTATATCTTTGATAAGAATGTCTTTGTTGCGTTGAAACTCATCTTCTAGCTGGGTCTCCACAGCCACCTTAACGGTCAAATGACATTGCTGTGCAGAAAAGGATCAACCAGGCGGATTGTTTCTGTACTACTGTAACGGTCAGGGTTCTTCTCATGAAGGTGAATAACCGGACAATACGAGCGTCACACTACATGTTGAAAGACAAACACATAAGGGGTTCGCTAACACAACCAACGATGGTTTCTATAATTGGGCAAGCAAGGCTGTAAACATATTTGTATATCTTTGATAAGAATGTCTTTGTTGCGTTGAAACTCATCTTCTAGCTGGGTCTCCACAGCCACCTTAACGGTCAAATGACATTGCTGTGCAGAAAAGGATCAACCAGGCGGATTGTTTCTGTACTACTGTAACGGTCAGGGTTCTTCTCATGAAGGTGAATAACCGGACAATATCAAACATGTTGAAAGACAAACACATAAGGGGTTCGCTAACACAACAGGACTTAACAGAATATGTGAGCCCGTCTTTATTCTGCTTCATATTTTCGTATACGTAAGGAAAGGAACTGTGGGTTTTTGATCTAATCAGTTTGTCACATTTAGCATAATGAAATGCCAATGTCATTTGAATAGGCTGTTTTGCTATTATTCATATGAAATATTTGTAGATGAAGACCAAAGACGCAGAGGAGGAAGATAGTCTTGAGAAGATTTCAGTTGATGAGGTCAATGTACCACTGCCAATTCCACTGGACGGCATTACGTTTGAATCCTTTGTGCGTAATCGAAACGACCTAGAGAGTTTCAAAGAATTCCTTGAACACGTTCATAGCAAGGGTAAGCTTTTCAATTACAAAATAAGGGTTAGTTTATATGCAGGCACGCACATAGCTACAATCCCGGACAAAAATAGTTGAGACTTTTCAAGAAAACGTTATGTTTCTCTTTCCTTTGAAAAATAGCTCCCCTCCCTTCTCCAATTCAATGTTGAATGCATGATTTTGAAGGAGAAATGATAGAACTACAAATCCAACATTGCTTCGGGAGGAAAGGGGGGATTCGAATTTACAGGGGCAAGGTAAAGTAGAAAATTACAAAAATTGCATTTTCTCTCAACATTTTTGTCCAGGATTATTGATGCTGGAAATAACGGCCCTATTTTTTAGCCAGAATCGCATTAGCATCAACTTTATCCTTCTCTATGAATAGGTCCTTTATGTAGCACAGCAGTTGTAAAAGTGATTTTTCAGTTTAGAAGTGCTACGAAAAAGCAAGTTGTTCTTGAATATTATGAGGTTTGTCTCGCTTGCTTTGTTAGCTAAAACGGAAAAGTTTCCAAGTTTCAATTTAAGCTGTGTTAAGAAAATGGCCCTTTTCATGTTTATTTAGAGTGATGACCTTCCTTGTGCTTTGATGTTCCGTTAGGAGAATGATGTTTTTACAATTATTTTTATTAAGGGTAATGGTCTATTTGAACCATGATAATTTTTGAAGGTGAATACAGCTTTCGTTTTACTGTATTTCTGACGGTTTAATTTTGTTAATGAAAACATATGCTTGATTTTCAGGTTTAAAAGATTTATTAGCGTGGATGGAAATGGAAAACTTTCGAAGGAGCTCCCGTCGAAATAGCCAACGAGACAACTATGCACGGTCGGTCAATTCAAAATGGTTAACAAACGACTACTTTTTTGGCCCAAACAGTCCTGCCACGAAAGAAGCACAGCAAGAGGTATTTTGCGATGAATTATTCTTCTATTAACCATTAGTCTGACAATCCTGTATATAAAACTGGTTTAATGAGAATTTGAATGCATACGCATAAGGAAAATGAATACTGAAAATAGCATACAATATTTAGTACTGTTTTAATCCAGTGAAGAATGTGTGAGGTAAATGGATGCATAAAGTCACATGGTTTTTCACGCATTTCTGCCACCTAGTTCTTCAAGTTGAACAAACTTTCAACAACAAGGGAGTTCTGGTAAACGGCTCAAAATTTCTATGGAAGCAGCAAATATTAACAAAAATGACTGAGAGTTTTACAACAAAGGGTATTACTACAAAGAGTATTACAACAAAGTGTTTAATAACAAAGAGTTTTACAACAAAGAGTTTTACAACGAAGAGTTTTACAACAAAGAGTTTTACAACAAAGAGTATTGCGACAAAGAGTATTGCAACAAAGAGCCTTACTAAATTGCTAGGCTGGCCCTTCCAGAAGTCCAGAATTTTTCGAAAGATTTTTTTTTCTCCAAGTCAAACAACTACGGCAGGAAACATTGAAAATGTCTGCATTCGCTTTGAGGAAATTGGTACAAAATACTCATTTTTAACAGAGTCAGTCGAAATCAAAATAAAGCAGTAGATAATCGAACACTGTTGAAGCTCCTCGCTGCGAACCTGCGCTCTGAAAACAAACACTTCTAACAATGCTAAATCTTTTCCAATCTGTCCATTTATGAAACAACAAACCTTATCAGAGCATCATCTTTGTCAACAGCTTTGTGGAACACATTTTTGTTCAAGCTTTTTCCTCTCAATTTCTCCATCGATATAGCACTTTTCTAACTTCTTGAACTACTTTTTTTCAATTTCTTCGATAAAACAAAAGCAATTTGTTTTATTTATTGCAGAATTTGTCGTAGCTGGCTTGTATATCTAATGCTCTTTCAAAAACACTTTTTAACTTTCCTGGCAGTTTAAAGAACCGGAGTGCGGAATATTGATTTGTTTAAGCCAATCTTCTTAAGCAACCTGACCGCGTAAATCGTGGCGACATTGGTTTCCATAGAGAAACAGGCACCAATAATGCTGTAAATAGATCTCAAACTTTGAAATAAAATTGATTCATTTTTACAAATAAACCCAAGCTGCACTTGACTTTCATTATTAGGCAAACTGTTTCCCATTCTTTTAAGGTACAAAAGTTGGCTGGTGAAAAGGAGATTCCAAATCGACCACCATCGCCAATGATTTTGGAAGCACAAAAATACGTCAAAGCAAGAATAGAGAGAAGGTGGTTCGTTCTGTTTAAGGAGTCTTCAAATTTTCAAAGTAAACACAAAGAAAACAACATTACCGAGATGGTAGAAGATTTAATCATGAAAAGGAGGATGCAGCGGAGCGAGGCCGCATGGAAGGTACTGTTTTGGTCAATAAGATTGCTTTTTTAAAAGTTATAATGTTGGATTTTTTTTACTTGGCCAAAGTTATATTCCTACATGCTTATTTTTTTAGATTTTGAACAGTCGGTGGATTTCGGGGTCAAGAGATGTCATTGCGCTGCGTCAGCTTCTGATGGATCCAATCAAATGTCAGCAGTTTCGACAATTTCTTTCTTTAAAAGGTGACCTGATGGAACACAACGTTTATTTTTGGTTGGAAGTTCAAAAATATAAGGTAGGCAGGTGTTGTAACAAACGCCAGTCTTACAATTATCCACGTATTGATTGGAAGTTTCCCGAAATCATGAAACACCATTATGCCATAGCCCCTTTTAATATCGTTCTTATGTTTCTTCGTCGATAAGTACAAGCGTGATGAAGTCTCAGCATTAATCGAGATTAGCTTTGACATTGTATCGTTTGCCAATTTGTTCAAAATGCTGATAATCGACGGCATGCAGAAGATACGTATTGACATGAAATGATTCACGAAGTCTCCGAGAGCCTTTATTAAGATTATTTGGCATTGATGATATTTTTGTAAAGCTGTATAGCAAGGTCTCATCTTTGCGCCAGCAATTAGTAAAATGGTTTTTGCAAACATGGACATCGATAATATTTATTGGTGTTATATTGCTTTGTGTAATTTTGCAAACTTGCTTAGGCTGTAATTTTCAAAACCTACCTTATGTGAGTTATAACTTGTATCTGCTAGAGAGCTAAATAATTTGCTTTTGTAGATTGAATTAATGTTGACCGTGGCTTGAAAGTGGGAAACGTTGATATTTTAGGAGCTGTGTCATCGTCACGTAGAAGATGCTATTATCAAGAGTAAAGTTCAGGCGGTGGTTGATGTGTTTATTAAGTCGGCTGTTCCACCAGAGCTGCAGATTGATGTGCCAATCGAAATTGCAGAACGGTTGCACGAAAAGACAAATTCCAAGACTCAACAGTATGGACCTTATTTATTTAGAGAAGCCCAGGTACTTATTTTGTCATCCTAATTGTCGATGTTTCCTTCATTTCAGACGATCTTATTTCAATATACGGCATCGAGCACTTTATGACATACAGTAAACAGGAATTTTTGAAAGGGTTATTGCTAGTCTGTTTTAGATGCTATCAGAGAACAAGGCTTTGTATGTGTAAAATGTTGAAAAGCAGAAATGAAGAATGGAAAGGAAGTAGAGTTAACGTATTTTGCATTGATTGACGAGTATGATCAGAACAATAAACAATAGCCAAACGCGCAAGGTGCCAGGTCAACACCCCTCCTCCCCCCTTCAAAGAAATATTTCAGCCTCACTTCTAACTAATGGCATGGCAATAATTGAGAAGTAGGGAAAAACAATCTCGTTAGGTTTAATCATACACTAAGACTAGGCCATACTGGTTTTCATTTCACCATACAGGTTGTTCAAAATCAAAGAACCAATTAAACGCGCGGTTCTTTCTCTCATCTGGAAAGAAATTTTTAATTTGGACAATATTTGACGTTTATGTTTTTACGAGTGTGGTACAAAAAGTGCTTCAGTATGATTTGATATGTTTCCGCTCATCCGTGCTATTTTTAAATGTCGCGGTTCCACGAGCGCTGTTGCATATGCACGTATATATGAGCGCCGTTGCTGGAATTCTCCATACTTGCAGGCCTCTGATACGGAACTTTTATAAAGTTTTGCTGATCTGCGTACTCTTCACCTGTTGTCTTGTATAAAAAGAACCAGTTAACACTTTGGTTTTTTTGGTCAGCACCATCTATCAACAATGTTGGGACACAGGATTTTTGGTAAAAAATGCCCGGAATGACTATGTTTCCGCCATTTCGTGCCACATATATATAAATATAAATATATCATTGGAGAGGTAACCCCCGTTATAAAAAGATACATTTTATGAGCCTAGTTAGTTGCACTAATCGCGGCGATTGGGAAGAGTATTTTTGTGCCCGCATGCCTTTTTATTGAAACATATGGAGTGTCAATGCACATGACTTCGATGCATCATTGTTTACTCTGATAAAGCCCCGTATGTAGTGGCTGAATATTTTAGGTAAACTATAATCTATTTTCTAAAGTTTGGATTTTTAAATTCGATTAATTTGTAGCTGATTGCTCTTCGTCATTCTGCGCTTTTCGTTTGCAAGTTTTTCATCACAACTTTCTGCAAAGATGGGAATTCAACTGCAAAGATTTATACTTTCTGTGGTACACAAATTAATGAGCATACATCACAAATGAATCGTCCGGGAAGACCGGATCCAAGTTGCGTGGCTGAGGGAATAACGCTCCCTAAACTTGGCAGAAAAACGTTTCTTCGGCTCCTGCTTGGGCTTCGCCCCGTCGGGACTCGCCTGCGTCAGATAGAATGCGCCCTTCCCGAATGCTGTTACCTTTCAATTTTTAACAAATGAATCCAGCCATGATTGTGAGTCAAACCAAACATGGCTTGCTCCTACAATCATGGTGGGCGCATGAGCAAAAAATGATTTATGCGCCTACCTGGATTCGCCCATCTGGATCCGCCCCTGGCTATAACACTCAAAATACATGCATGTTCATTTAATCATCTTATCATTCTTCCCTTTATAGACCACAGTCTTTCGTATCATGTTCAATCATTGGAAAGAATATGTCTCTTTTCGTGCCTCAATGGAGGAGCACAGGTTTGCACAGCATCTCGAAGAGCTCGTAAAGAAGCGCAAAGCAGAACTGAGGGCAAAACGGATGAATTCGGAGCGGAGAAGGCTGGTCAGGGCGGCCTTTGAAAAAAAGAAAAGGGAGCGAGAAGATAATGACAAGTTTAAAGGAAAAGAACATACCAAAGTTGATTTCTCAAGGTTGGTGATATGTATGTATATCGTGTTATCGTAACATGTTTTTATCCTGGGTAATTTGACTGGTGCCATGACCTTTGTATCCGTTTTAGAGAAAGGATGTGTACAGAAAGATGCAATAATCTTAGTAAGACTTTTCAAACGCTGCACATGTTGGAGTGTACACTTTGATCAGGTCCGAGCCAAGCTCGTGCTAGATGGATATGCAAAGCTGTGGCTAGATTTCCAGATAAGTAGAAAAGGAATATCTAGAACAGGTAATTTTCTAAGAGAACTTTTGATAACGCAATGTTAAGACCATCAGAGGCAGACTTAGAGAAACTCTAGTGACAACCTTTAATAAAGATATCACCAGAGCAAGAGCAATGGAAAGGTCTTCCCCATTACCGAACATAAAAAACAATGGAGATTTTGAAAAGATACGATCCACAGCAAAGGACCGCAAAAAATGGAGAAGATGATCAGAAGTAGTATGCAGAGCTGCATAAACAGAAACAACATGAAACCTTCATGCCAGGACTGCGCAACTGCAATTTATATTAATTAAGACCTACGGTAAATAGTTAATCGAAAAAGACACGTGTTTGGGAGTAAAAGTCATAGGAGGACACAGCTCAATGGTTCTCAAATCCATAATGACGTAACCTGTGTTGTTTTTCTCTGATCTAGATCTTCTGTAGCAAAGTTACAAAGAATGAAATAAGTGGAATTCAAAAACGAGCATTGGAACGGTGTATAGAGAAAACATTTACAATTTTAGAGAACTTCTAGAAAGGGGTGCGATAAATGCAATACCTAGAAAGAACCTGCAAAATTTGATGTCCTCGACCAAGATTATTTGTAGGAATTTTAAACAAGAAAGATGTATTAGTGTACTTGATTTGTGTATTATCTTAAACTGTTATAATTAAGATCCATGCAAGCTGCCCACACTGATTTCTCACCACTACAGAGTAAATTCCGTACAGAGGAAGTTTACCGTGGGGTGCCATGATTTACAACTTGCATTTGCCAATGACCATGTTGAATTTTCAAAAATACTTCATGATTATTATCATTCTCTTTGGCTTTGCTAGTTTTAGATTTACAAAAACATTAAAAATTCAAATGGGAATGCTTTTTGATATCGTAATTGATTGATTTTGATGTGCTTTTATTTCCTTGTTTTAGTTATCAAGGTCATGAGAAAGCATTGTCCCTAATCAGCGAAGATGAAGAGGCAATCATGCAAGTGACGTCATTTTCCTACTCAAAGTTCACGGCGGAGGAGCAGCTGTCTGACTATGAACAGCGCATGCGCGAAGAGGGTTGTACCCTTGACGAGTATACTGAGGGGGACTTCACAAGTCACTTGAACAGTGAAAGGAAGTGTTACAGACGAACTTCGGGTACATGATCGATTGTAATCACTTTTTATTCGTTATAAATTTCATATTAGCTTTGATTTAAAGCTGACACCCTAGGTAAGGACAACTTTGTTGTGAGAGGAAGATAATATTGATTGGGAAGTCCGGTATCTGTACTTAAAAACAGACTACGTCTTGCCATTTACACGCCCATTGTGTAAGGAGCATTAAACATTGATTTGCTAAAAGATGCTGTAGAGTGATTATAGCAATCGAAACTTGTAACAAATAACAAAACTCACACATTATCAATTCGTAAGACTAAAAAGCTTCAAAGGAGCTTAATAGCAGCAAGTGGAGCCAGCTAAAATTATTCTAGGGTTTTCAAAAATGCAAAATGTATTTGCATTTCAAATTTCAATTTTAGGGCTTGCGAGTGATGAAGGAAGAAGTGTTTCAGGTAAGCTTTGCTCAATGCATTCATCAATTTCGAAAATTTAGCACAGTAACTAAGCTTCTTCGTCGAATCATATCACCTTTACCTCGTCCTTTTCCCCTGATTTATTTTCGCTCGTTATATGGAAACTTTTAGAAATTCGATCCATGACCCAGTTGTTGCATTTGTGATTTTTATATCGCTACCATATCGAAAAGTTGGAAACATTTTGAACCGACCATCAAGTAAGTTCATGGGAAAGCGAAGAGTTCTGCATCAGGCACCGTCTTATGATATCAATCCTGTTTGTCGCTGTAGCCCTCTCATGTTTTTGCTGATGCACACCACACACCACACACCACACACCACTTGTCACACACCACACACCATACATCACACACCACACGCCACACACCACACGCCACACACCACACACCACACACCACACACACCACACACCGCACACAACACACCACACACCATACATCACACACCACACACCACACACCACACACACCACACACACCGCACACAACACACCACACACCATACATCATACATCACACACCACACACCGCACACAACACACCACACGCCACACGCCACACGCCACACACCACACACCACACACACCGCACACCGCACACAACACACCACACACCATACATCACACACCACACACCACACACCACACACCACACACCACACACCACACACCACACACCACACACCACACACCACACACCACACACTGTGATATGTAAATAGTTATCAGACAGAGGGTGATTTTCTCCCGAATCTTCGTGGCTAAAAAAATTCATTTTTATTTAACTAGAAGACATTTTCAATTATGTTGATTTTTTGGACAGTCATGGACAATTTCACTCAAGATTTGTTTACTTATGATGTCTCGTCATAAATTATTGTAAGAATATTCCGTTTCCCAATCATTGTAAGTTATCTACATCAATAAATATCTCATGTTAATCTTTTTAAAGTAGGCATAGGCCTGATTTCTTTCTGTTTCCCTTAGAATAAAAGTAACATTCCTTTTTTTAGGGATAAGTGTCAGAGTAGGAAGGAAAAAAAGTGGAGGCTTTTCCAGAATCAATGTCAAAAATTCTGTTGTGAAAGGTAATCAGTTTTATGATCAATGGTGTATACCCGTACAGATACAAAGTGATTTTTTGGAGAACTAGCATTCGTGATTAAAATTCGCGATTGTGTAAATTAACCCTCGCATAAAAGTGGCGTACAGTACCCTTTACTATACGCATTATTTGAGATCACAAAAAGTTGTGGTACGTTTTCTGCTAAGTCATGCACAGTATTAAATGCGGTAAAGGGCTGTTGCTAAAACTACCATCGGTGATGGTCGACTCTTTATAATAAAAGAAGTTAACTAATACTTGATCATGTTTTTCTTCCGTTATAGAAACCATTTACGAATCTATCAATGATTCATCAAAACGGAAAACTTGCCGTGATGTTGTTAAAGGAAAGTGTTCTACTAACAGTATAAAGTCATTTTCCTCGAGAGCAAAAAGCAAGAGCCCCTTCAAAAAAGAGACTCCTTTATGTGGTTCAAATATTGATGCGCAGGAAGGGACACTTGCAGCAGGAAAAAATGCTAAGACCAATGAACAGTCTTGGTACAGTGAAGGAATTTCAGTCGCTTCAAAAATAAATAAATCCCGCTTTGGGCAAAGCTTGATGCCGGGGCCTCGACGTACAGGGGCATCACTCACGATGAAATGCTTAAGAGAATTCGATAAATCGTCTGATGGTATGCTTGTGCGACTTGCTTCGCAATCCAAAGTTATTTCTTTCTATGTTTTTCATAGATTTGATTCATGATGATTTTGCCTCTATTGCAATCATGTGTTTCTTTGTGTTTTGGTTTTTTTCATTGTCTCTTACTTTCATTTTACTTTCATTTTTAAATCCCGTTGGTATTTAGCGTCCCTATTTACTAATAATAGGGGATACGAGACTGAGACTCATACAAGTCTGGATCATATCAAAACATGATAAGATTGGATCATATCAAAACATGCATCGTTTTTAGCAATTGTTTATCGAGTAAACATTGCTTGTTTAACATGCGAATCTTCAAAAGACACCAAAATTGAACTTTTTTCAATGTAAGTATAGGTTAATTTCACAATTGAAGATTTGCAAAAGACCAAATTTGCTGCAATAGAGTTAAGAATATAAAGTTAATCAAAACATTCGTCAAAATATCTAACTAGTAAAAAGGTTCTTAATCTAAGAAGGTCTTCTAAAGCCAAGTTGGAATCATACTCTAGGGCCAAACTGGGAAGATACACAAGAGCTTAGCTATGAAGATATCTTAGAGCTTAGCCAAAAATATTCTCTAGAGCTAAGCTAGAAAGATACACAAGAGCTTAGCTATGAAGATACCTTAGAGCTAAGCTATGAAGATACCTAAGAGCTTAGCCAAAAAGATTCTCTAGAGCTAAGCTAAAAAGATACTCAAGAGCTAAGCTGGGAAGATAGACAAGAGCTTAGCTAAGAAGATACCTTAGAGCTAAGCTATGAAGATACTTAAGAGCTTAGCCAGAAAGATTCTCTAGAGCTAAGCTAAAAAGATACTCATAAGCTAAGCTGGGAAGATAGACAAGAGCTTAGCTAAGAAGATACCTTAGAGCTAAGCTATGAAGATACTTAAGAGCTTAGCCAGAAAGATTCTCTAGAGCTAAGCTAAAAAGATACTCATAAGCTAAGCTGGGAAGATAGACAAGAGCTTAGCTAAGAAGATACCTTAGAGCTAAGCTATGAAGATACTTAAGAGCTTAGCCAAAAAGATTCTCTAGAGCTAAGCTAAAAAGATACTCAAGAGCTAAGCTGGGAAGATAGACAAGAGCTTAGCTAAGAAGATACCTTAGAGCTAAGCTATGAAGATACTTAAGAGCTTAGCCAGAAAGATTCTCTAGAGCTAAGCTAAAAAGATACTCATAAGCTAAGCTGGGAAGATACTCAAGAGCTTAGCTAAGAAGATACCTTAGAGCTAAGCTATGAAGATACCTAAGAGCTTAGCCAAAAAGATTCTCTAGAGCTAACCTAGAAAGATACACAAGAGCTTAGCTAAGAAGATACCTTAGAGCTAAGCTATGAAGATACCTAAGAGCTTAGCCAAAAAGATTCTCTAGAGCTAAGCTAGAAAGATACTCAAGAGCTAAGCTGGGAAAATACCTTAGAGCTAAGCTATGAAGATACCTAAGAGCTTAGCCAAAAAGATTCTCTAGAGCTAGCCTAGAAAGATACACAAAAGCTTAGCTATGAAGATACCTTAGAGCTAAGCTATGAAGATACCTAAGAGCTTAGCCAAAAAGATTCTCTAGAGCTAGGCTAGAAAGATACTCAAGAGCTAAGCTATGAAAATCCTCTATAGCTAAGCTCATTTTTTGATATGTCTTGGTCGATTATAGAAACAATTGATATGACCATGATAATTATTTTCCAGGAAGGCCCATTAAAGCCGGCTTGCCCCTTATTCATATCAATGGAATCGACAAAGCAACTCGAGAAAAGGGAAATACCCACCATATTCAGGAGCAAAGGAGGCCATCCAGTGCCATGGTTCATCTTAATTCGGAAAGGTCTTTTCCAGTGCAAGGAAAAAACAAGGCAGGAAGAGAGAGGGCTGCTAATGACATTGTCACCAAGATAATTGTCACTTAAGTAGTAGTACTCAGTTATATTCTGTCAAACTAATATTAATATATTTTCTCTTCTCGAACAACATTACAACATTGCGAAGAAAATCACAAGATGTTTTTGTTTGTTATTGTATATTGTATATGGGTAATTAGATGACGCAAAGTCAAATATTTTTCTTTTTATAACTATGTAATATATAAGAGAGTGGCTGTTGTATGTGATTTTCATTCGTGCTTTTTCCTTACTTGGCATTTACATTAGAAGAGTTAATCGGCAACCTGACCTAGATTCGTAGATATAACGTTATTTATTCCCGATGCTCCTCCTCCCTATGATCGTATTCCCTATGATCCCTGTGACAAAGATCTTTTCTATTGTACAAATAAACACTATTTACAAAACTTTAATAACAACGATCGCCAATTGACATCATTATAAAGCCCAATCTCCAGTGAGAAAAAGTCTTACGAAATTTCGCTGCGAAATACTTCACGCGACAAATTCCTTTGAATGCTTTTGTTGACCTTACGACATTGGAATGTAAAGTTTGGAAGCGTGACAAAGGGATACGGAATGTGATTGGCTGCTGAAGGATTTCGCAAGCGAAAAGCGAAAAAATTTAAACTCATTTTAACTTTTTTTCGCAGAGAAATTCTTCGCGAGAAATCCAAGCGAAAGATCACTGCGCATGCCTAAGACGTATTTAACGCGAACTTTTTCGCATTTCGCTGATTTTTTTCTCACTGGGGATTGGGCTTAGCGCTAAAGATCCTTTGCAAAAACGAGCATCTTGCATACTTATCTGCAGCGATTGCTACTTACTAATTTTGAATCAGTGACTGCAAATCGGTGATTTCTTATCAGAGATTGCTCATCAGTGATTCCTAATCAATGATTATTAAGATTGCACTAAAAATTAATGATTCATAATCAGTGATTGGTAATCGATCACTAATCTTCAATTGCTAATCAGTGATTGCTAATCAGTAATGGCTAAGCAGTGATTACTAATCAGTGATTATGAAGTCTGCACTAAAAATCAATGATTCATGATCAGTGATTGGTAATCGATCACTAATCTTCAATTGCTTATCAGTTATTGCTAATCAGTAATTGCTAAGCGATGATTACTAATCAGTGATTATTAACCTTTCATTAAAAATCAAAATGATTCATAATCAGTGATTGGTAATCGATCACTAATCACCAATTGCTAATCAGTTTTTGCTAAACAGACCAATTCTGCATGTAATGACCAAATCCTGCCACTTCAGCGAATACTACAAGCATTTTGTTACTTTTGTTTCGATAAAATAATGACGCTTTCCGAGCCATTAATTACCTGATTTTTACCAGACCTCTGGCAATTTAATAAGTTTTTTATGCATTTCAGTTTCAATCTTTTCTGCAGTCTTGGCATCAAAAAGGAAAGCAGTTCTTTACCTCGAGTCTGCAAAAGTTCATTGTCGACACCACTCCTTTCTATCGGAAATTTATATTTCAAGTTATCATGGTTTTGAGACACAAAACATTGTCCAATCATGATATCTACATGTCACTTGATTCATTTGTTCTATAAACCAAACAGCGTGTACAGCTTTCCCTATTCGACATCGAGAACTTTATGACAGCGCGGTAAACAGTAATTTTCATGGGATTGAATCGAAATAAATATTCTAGTTTTCTTTGTGTTAGTTCACTATGGTTTCCATACGGTCGTGATAATACTGATATTTTGTCTACATTTACTGGGAAGATATTCAGCAAGAGGAATTTCTCATTTTGAAAGGCTTTCCATAACCTTGATCGCTTTTTATATAATTTTTGATTTTCTTGCTTTGATCAAAATCGTCCCTAAAGAAACGCATCTAGAAATGTTGATTGAAAGTCAAAATTCCAATGCCGTTTTGAACTGTCAAAGCTGAAATTAAACCCTTAACGCGTATTTTTCGTTTATATTTGTTTTTTTCATTTTTGCAACGTGCTTTCTTCCGAAATGATTTCTCTAATTAAACGACGTTTTGTGCTGAAAGGCAAACAAAGCTGAATATTAATTATATAAACGGGAGTTATCGCCTGAAATATTGACTTAGACGACTAAGTTCCTTTCGCAAAATTTTCCGCTTTAAAACATCCCACTTGCTGTGATAACTAAGGAAACGCTGCATTTTGGGAAGTTTTTTTCAAGTTTCCATAACATCAAAGCCGTTGAACAAACAGACACTATAGGCCTGAATTAAAGTAGAGGATTGTGGCAAGTCTCACTGCATTATGCGCTATACGCCTTTTAAATGATTTACTTTAAAAATTTATTGCTAAATCCCAATTCAGGTACAAGAAAAGAAGCTTACCTACTGTTCGCACAACAATAATCGAGTTCTCGCACAACAATAATCGAGTTCTCGTTAGACAGCCAATAGGCTTTTTGCAGCCGATCCTTAGAATGAGCAGTATGATATACGGAATTTGATATCGCTTTGAAACTGGGTTATGCTCAACTTGAATTTGGTCATCCTGAAAATGCATTATGACAGTTTTATATAATTAGGCTATAAAAGTTTTCATTTGTCTCTAGACCTTTAAAAAAAAATTCAACCGCCATAAAACAAGCGAAAAGTGGTTTAAACAATCTGGCTCAATCTACAAGAGTTGTAGGTTATCGCCAAGTGAAACATTTGTCAAAAAGACACTTAATTAAAAATTGCACGAAGTAAAAACCTTTTCAATGGAAGATAGTCTAACACGATTGATCCTTATCTTTACTCGTATTCTCTCATCTTGACACCATGTAAACGCTAACTTATTTTCTCAGACTCTTGACTGCTCGACAATAGCCAGGCTTTTTGCTTGTTGTAGAAGCTATTGATTTAGCTTTGGACCTTAATATCAAGAGTTACACTATGCCAGATTGCTATCGGAGCAAAGTAGCTTTCACTCTGGAGTGATAAATGAGATAGCATTACGATGTTCCGCTTGCTCGCAGGCATGCATTCCTCTGCACTTCTGGTTCAGAATCGGTGTGCGTTTGCAATCTTACGCCTTAAGTCCACTAGATATAATTATTTTATGACCTTGTCAAACTCTGTGTTTTTAATAGATTCTTTGCCAATAAATGCTGCATAAAAAAGAGAAAAAAGACAAGAAATGGAGCCACAAAAAATTATCACGATTTTCCATTAGCATTTTCCAACAACAAGCCCAAAATCTTTGTTATTCACAGATGATGGAATTGCGTAAAAGCTGAAGATGCTAGATGAGAAAATGCTAGGTATCGGGACAGGGAAAACACTCTGATGTGGAGTGAGTACGAAATGATTTTCATTTCACCTTCAGAGCAGAGCACTCCGCTAATCAGAGCGTTGTGTACCATGTTGGTGCGGCAACTAAAATCCCTGTCTGGTTTGAAAACTGCTTCGCTTCGATAGCAATTCAGTATAGTGTATCCGGGATCTGAATTCTGGGAACTTCTATCCTCAATCTTTGCCTCTAAATTCGTCATTTAGATTTTTAGTGAGAGCGTAGCAACTTAGTGCATTAATGATTGACCTGATAAATTTCGATTTCCAGCAACTGCATCCTTTTCCGTGCTCAAGGTCAGCTGAAGCATACTTCACCACTGACAGTCGCAATGTTTAGCCACATTGAATGGAAGGGTACAACAGTTTTTATAATGTTATTAGCTAAAAATTAGAGAGGCGAGCAAGTGCGTGCAGTTTTATTTTGCCTTTTTGAATTAATACTCGACATGTTTTGTGAAACTTAATCTTTATCGAAATGTGTTTTCATAATCACCTTCTTTATTAGTGGAGCAACCAGGGGTGGGTGTTAACATTTGTTTCCAAATATCAAAAGGTGGCATTTTGCTTCCTTAAGTTGAATGTAATTCCCTAGCGTAGAGTTCTTGATCGTTGTTCTGAGGTTTTGAACTCTGAAGAGTGTCAGACGAAAAGTTTTAGTTTACTAAAGTGTTTCCTTTCTCCAAAGTCATTTTTATGTAACTTTCTGAAAACCGTTTTGCAAGCACTGAACTTTAAATTTTCAATCTATTAATTATAGTATTGAGATTTAAATTGAATATATAGATGATGTTTTCGTCGGCATAGTTACGTCAACATTGAATAAAAGTGGTCCTACGATTGATCTTTGCAACACCCGGATGGTAACGACTACTTTATGCTATGAATTGGTATGACATGGCATGGCATGGTGTGGTATGGTGTGGTATGGTTTGGTATGGTATGGTACGGTACGGTATGGTATGGTATGGTATGGTATGGTATGGTATGGTATGGTATGGTATGGTATGGTATGTATGGTATGGTATGGTATGGTATGGTATGGTATGATAAAATATTCTCAATCACGGACACTTTATATTCGGTCTTTCCTGAAGTTCCAGATTTTATCAGTTGACTCCTTGTGGTTTTCCGAATCTTGAACATTGCTAATGAGTCACCGGCAGTTGTTGATGAGTTTCTAGATCATTGCGTCTATATTTATTTTTGCTCTAAGTTTAATCATTATAAAACGGAGAGAGCTCTCAGTCTCATGTTTTACTAATTATTCCAACAAATATGAATCAGGTTTTCACCGTTTTTTCCAATGTTTTATTAACAGACTAACAAACAGGCGTAAAACATAACAGACAAGAACGAGTATCTGCTAATTTCCTCCTTCCTCTTCGATTGTCTTTGGTCAGCATAAAAGCAGTCACAAGGCATCCTCTTTCAGTTAGTTCGAGCAAGACCAGATTGATTTCCTTCACTCTGCAGCATCATCTCACAGATAGCAAAATGAAAGCAACTTTGGTTATTCTCTTGCTTGGCTTGATTGTCATCTCACAGGTCGAGTCTCTCACCAGTGGTGGTCTTCAGATGTGGGGAAAAAGAGCTTTACGTGTAAGCATTTTGAGTATTGCATCTGTTTTAGTTTCATTTCAAATAAAACCTACAAATGTTTTTATCTTTAGTGTTGCTTTTAGATCTTCGATTTCCTTCGTTAAGTCAGAATCTAAGCGGCATTTGATATGCATATGTACAACTCGTTAATATAATTTCTTCAAGCCAAGTTAATCAAAGCCTGCGCGCGTTAAACAAATTGGAAACAGGTCAAGTGAAATTGTATATAGGAAAAGCTCGTCCCATTGGCGAAGACACAATGTGAGAAGATGGTTGATCGTAGATTTCAAGTAACCGATACTAATGATTTTGAAGCAATCGATTGATTCAAAGTCTTTGGTGGAGGCAATGCTTTAACTTCGTCCATCATCGTGAACCACTGTGCGCTGAGCTGGGATTTCTCAGGTTTGCAGAAACTGTTCATATGATATTCTCTATGCGCAGTTTTTTGGGTGAACTGTAAGCTATAAGCTACCTTTATATGTGTCAAATGCCTGTAAGTTTTTAAGGTTTTTTGAAATAACAATGAACTTAATCTCGATATTCAATTTTAGGAGAGGGCCGAACAAGCAGAGACATTGCAGAAAACCGCTTGTGCTTTTTGCAGAATGAACGTACATGTGTGCGAAAACCTCTCGCGAAGATCTGCTGAAAATGCAGAGAAAAAGTAAAGCTTCGAGCTGGCAATAACAACATCAGTGACTTATTTGTAACTAGCATAATAGACTTGAAAAATGTGTATTTGAATGCATCATATCAATTAAAATGATTGAGTCCTCTATCTAACGCGTCGTTCATTATTTTCTTCCATTTGATGTTAAACCTTGCATCTTAGCCAATCAATGGCCATACAACATTTCTTATCACGAAGCAAATTAATTTCATGTTGTTTGCTCGTTATTCTATTTTGCTTTCGTTGTCAGATTCTCAAAATTTTTCATAGAATTCGTCTGTTTTGATTTCCTTTCATCATTTAATGCTTAAAGTGCTACTGACATGAAAAATCAAAATTTTGCAGAAGGTTTTTTCTTAGGCAGTTAACGTCACTAATTCTTTATCTGCAAATATTTCCTCAAAATAAGGGCCAAATTAAGTTTTTCGAAAAGAGTCTGGGGAGAGTGACGCATTCTGGTGTGGTATTCTATGGTTAACGAAACCCCAACGGAGCCTAGAAAACGTCCAGCAACCTAAGATCGGGTGGGAATTTTCAGATTCAAACGTTTCAGCTAACGATGAGGAAGTCGTATCGGAAGCGAAAGAACAAATTTTGAAAAGAGGAACGTTGAAATGATGTTACAACCCGATGAGAATGATCCATTACCACCTTTCTCTTTGATGATGGGTGAACATGTGGTGGCGAAGCCGACCCTTCGCCAATCATTCGGATTATAATTCGGATAAAGATAACAAAAAGTTATTTCACATCAAAAAATCTGGATCGATTTTATGTTGATTGTTTTTCTTTTCTTAACAAGACGCACTTTACATCCAAAGGTGAGCAGACATTTTTTGACGCGGCCTAAATGTTCCCGTGAATTGACGTTCGACATGAAACATCACAACCTGATATGAACTGATCTTCAACACTAGAGCCAAAGCAAGACAACTAAATCGACTCAAAACAACATAAAAACCACCTTTCTTCGAGTGTATACTAAAACAAAGCGAAAAACTACAATAATTGCATTCCCTGTACAACCTCAAGCTCCAAGGAAACTCCTATTTGAATACATAGAAAACCCCTAAATACATTTGTAAAAATGTTCCGAATCGATTGAAATTTTGTAGAGTTGCTAAAACGTGCATAAAACATATTTAGTTCCTCCTTGTTTTTTCTGGTTTTGTGAGAATATCTGAAACGCCCCTCGTTCGAGCTCCATACTGAAGCCTTATAACAGCGATCTCGTATGTCTGTTTTGTTTCCCCATATTTTATTCCCGTAAAACGATGCAAAATCGATTGGAACTTGGTAGGGTTGTTTTAATTCTTGTACCTAACGCGTGTTTTGGATCACAGGGCGGACAAAGACAATGGATTGAAACCGGCCCTGTGTCTTCTCTCTCATAGATTGTACCCACAATCGACGCTATTTTTTCCATCTTTCGGAAACTTCAGCGATTGATTTTTGGGAATGTGACTGTTATCCAAACAGCCAGTAGAGTTTAGTGCACCAGCACAACAATATTTGCCTTATTTAGGTCGTTTTTTGCTATGCCCGATCTCTGTCATCCTTAACCAGAATACGTAACAAATTCTTGGAATTCCTCTTTGGCCGCGTTCTTTATTCGAACAAAAACTGGCGAAAACCAGTACTTTGGAGCTTGAAAAAATTATGTTAACGGAAAGTTAAAATTACACCACTCGATTTAGCACTGCAGGCTCTAAACTAAAATATAATAAATGTATTTTATGAAGTTTTTTCATGTCAGTTCCGCTTTAAGGTTACGGTAAACTTTTTCTGGATGAAAAAATCCATTTTTCGATTATTTCACATTCAAGTAGCTGAACTTTTAAGGCACACAATGATACAAATTTGAAACTAACAGAAATCTGAAAAATGGAAAAAGTCCCATTTAAACGAAGGTTTCCATAATTTCTTTATCAAAACTTTTAGTTGAGGCCTGAAATCTCTTGACCTGTTAAGCCGATTATCGTTGCTCTAGATTTCGAGAATAATAGTTTCTAGGTAATTTGTTTTAAATTGCATTCAGTTGAGAATTAGGAACTTTATTTGAAGTAAATGCGAACAATCTGAAATTGTTTTACGTGTCTTACAAATCGTGAAATCCCTTTATAGGGAAATAAATAGGAGCTATAATGGAGAAGATAAACCATGCGAAATGAGAGGGTAGAATGATTTTGGAGTCAGTTTATTATTATTATTTTTTTTAAATTGAGCAAAAGTTGTGATCAATCATACCTTTGTTGGCTGACAAATTGAAAGATTTACTGATAAAGCACTTCTAGATAACGTTCATCAAAAAGTGCTTGATACTCTGGAATGCCAAATCCCTTTGCGATCCCAAGCTGCACCAAAAACCAAAACAATCGATATGATCTGTTCTTTTTGGCAAGTGCTCGAAATCGTAAATTCTTTTTCGCTAAATTCTTAAATTATTCTCTTTATGCACAAGTGTGGACCAAAGGCTAAAATTATCATCTGGTTATCATATTGTCTTCAAGAGATATCTCTTTCATAAGAAAATTTGCTCTAGTTTTTGTGCCTATGTGAATGGATTAGAGACGACCTGAGGTTTTGAATGATAAGACACAAGATATGATTTGAATTCTCATTAAACTAGCAGAGAAAGGCTTTTCAAACCATCACTTGTTAAGGAACACGTACCTTTGTCGTTTCTCTCTCCTCCATATAGCCATACCCACAATTGAACAGTGTTTTGGTGGTACAGAACTTGAAAATGGCTTTAAAAAGCAAAGTTTTTATATCATATTGGCTAAAAGCTTTTCCTTCTGACACTCCTCAGAGCATAAAACGTCAAAATAAGGGTCCGAAAGAACACGATGAAAAATATATACCCAGTTGTGGATCGAAATAGGCCAATCAGAAAAACGCAAGCACAAGACCGGTATCGTTTGCTAATCTGTGCTGCATGCTTAAAGAAAAACTAGCAATGGAGAAAAGAGAAAAGAGCAAACGAACTCCTTCTGACTACACAAAGGCGGCTATGTCGTTTGTATGTAGATTGATTACTAGATGTTATAAACTTTCCCAATGTCTGTTTTATGTTAAATCCGTAAAGGCTGATTTTCACGAGGCGAATTTCGCAGCGAATTTGCGGCGACGTCGCTAAAGAAGGGATCAAGGCATGTGCAATTTTGATTTTTGATTTCGCAGCGAATTCGCAAGAAAGTAGAAAATAGCTCTACTTTTTCGCGACGAAATCTTTCGCAGCACCTAATAACCAGTCAAAGCAAAAGAAAATTTGCTTGATTTGTAAGAAGACAGTCTTGGGAGATTCGCCATGCGTGCAGTTCTGAAAATGGACGCCTTAAAGTTGAGTTTTGGGAGAAATCAATATATTGTTTCGCAGCGAATTCGCAGTCCCGTGGAAATCAAAAGATAATTTCGATGCGAAATTCGCCTCGTGGAAATCAGCCTAGAGGCATTCGTACTACTGCGAGGGGATATCTAAATTGCGGAGGAGACGATAGAAGACGAAGGAAAATCTATCGCCTTCTATCGTCTCCTCCGCAATCTAGATATGCCCTCGCAGTAGTACGAATGCTTTACGGATGTAACATAAAATAAACTTTGGGAAAGTCTATAGATGTTATATAAACTAAAGTCTTTTTAGGCGAGTTCTAATGACAAATGATTAGAGTGGGTAAAGATTCAGAACAAGTATATGGCAGCCTCGACGTTTCATTCAGCTCGAATTCAATACTTTGATAAACTTTCAACAACCTTTGCTGCCTTCGTAGACCTTTGCTGACAGCCTTTGCTGACAACCTTTGCTGACAAGAGAAAATGATGAATGTCGGGCTCAGTTGGTTGGTCAAACATATATTATGTGCGTTCCGAAAACTCTAAGAAAGGATGGTCTGAAAGCTAGAATGTTGGGACATAAAATCTTTGAAATATAATGCTACAGATAATTTTTTTGGCAAATCAATGGCTATTGAAGTACCACAGATTTTGCAGTAGCATCTAGTCTCGTCTATTGTTCTAATCCGATGTAAAAAACTTAAGTCTTTGCTCGTTTTCACTCATTGCAAGATATCATTTGGTATTTGACACAACTCTCCAATTCTGCATATTAACATTAAACACAGTTCTGAGAAGTAAGCAATATCAGAGGCGGACTGGCTGGTCGGGCTATTCGGGCGATCGCCCGAGGGGCCGGTCGGTTTAAGGGCCGGTTGATAAAAATGCAAAAAATAAATTAGCTTAAAAAGTTAATGCGAGGCAAAAAAGTATACCCACGCGTTGATCTGTTTGCCTTGAATTTTCAGAGACTTTGTGGGAAAGAATAAATATACACGCGAATACTCCAAAGCCATCAAAATTATGAATTCATTATTGTCACCGCAGCCCAAACACACTTCTTCAGGAAACATATTATTGACATCTTGTCATATTTTATCTTGACGGTATTTCCTTTTTGGCGACATATTATACTGTAACACCCCTGTTTCAATGCGATACATAAGATTTTAACCTGCCCTGATGTCTTTTTACTTAGCTTTTGCTTGAAGCTGGTCGTGTTTTTGCCTAAGCACTGGACTTGCTACAAGTCTCTCTCTTTAAAGAAAGGGAAAAAGGAAAAAAAGAAAGGGAAGGAGAGAGAGACTTGTAACACTTGTCCGCCAATGCGAGGCCACACGAATTTGGTGCGCCAAACTGCAACGGGGGTAGTTTCTCTCTATCGTTAATCGTTGCAAAATGGCGGCAGACAAAACACCGCAGCTTTGGGAAAACCGTCATTTTGTGGAATACTTATCTCCAAGTTCGAACGATATTTGTGTGTTATGTCTCCAAGATATCAAGAATATTACAAAGAAACCCAGCGATATGAAAATTAGAATCTGGGATGTCGAAAAAAGAGCCGTAACAAGAGCTGGTGATTCGCTGCAGCAGTACTTGGGAGTTACTCTTACCTCTCTAGACTTTCGCATCATATGCAAAAACTGCAATCGACAAATTCATTCTGCACTCAAAGTGAAAGAGAAAAAGAAGCAAACATTTGAAGAGGGTCGACTCGAATGTTCGAATTTCGTTAAAAGAAGTGTTAAGAGACTGGCCCTTAGTAGTCCTAATCAAATTGCTGATCAGGAGCAGAAAGTGGTCAGGAAACCAGCTAAGAGAAACAAGCTGAATTTCACAGGAGAGACTGTTGAAGCAGATGGAAATGAAAATGATCCTTCTGGTTCATTATCACTAGCTGAGGAAATTGGCACCAAGAGGGACGCAGGAGTTATTGTAAGTAAAAGATATTACTGGGAACTTTGTTGCGTGCCCGCAATAAATTGCCCGTGTCAACATTGCGCGCTTTTGCATATTGGCCGCGCAGATCCCTAGACAATAACATTTAACATTATTAACTATAAAAATAAATAAGAGTGTATGATTGCAGGCACGCAGTCTCAAATTTAAAAGTAATTTTGTCTGCGCAAGAAGCAAACAATGTAGTGGCTTTTAATATTGGTCTAGATGTGATCAAACAACGACAAACAGAATTCTTTTGAATTTTCAAATAACATAGGTTGGCCAAATAGACAGGGTTTTACTAGATATAAAGTTCTGCAATTTTCTTTTTATAGGAAAGCTGTTCGTGCTTGACAACACTGCCTGCCAGTTATGTTTCATGTGTTCGTAATATGGTAGCCAATAATATACCTGCCATAGCACACTGCATTTGGGCCGACAAAAATTTGAAAGAAGAAATACGAAAGCTTTTCTTTCAAGAAATAGATTTGGAATTGAAAAACTTATGTTCAAATTCAGATACCATCTTTCGGACAGAATGTGTTGATTCCTTGGCAAAAAAAATTGACTTTGAAGCACAAGAAAAGAACTTTTGATCAGATGCCCAACTCTCTCATTCCCTCAAATTTTTTCTTTTTTCTCTTTCTTTAAAGAGAGAGACTTGTAGCAAGTCCACCTAAGCACAAGCTATTGCTAAAGGTAATAAATTTAAAAGTTCAAAAGTTAGAGTTCACTAAGCGATTTGCTCTGTGATTTGGAGCAATGAAGTGGACATACGTAGAACAAGGGAAGAGCAAGAAGACTTCAACCAAAGGTGGTGCACAGAAATTTCGTGAGGAAAAGCTGCGAGACTTAAAAAAGGATTCAGCTACGATACAAAGCTTTTTTATCAAGCAAAAGCCACAAACGTCACAAAAAACAGCATGGTCTTGCTCTTGCTCCTTTCAATAAACTCATACAAGTTATGGTAAGTTTATTAGGCATATACTATCATAAGTCAAATGGACCCCCGCCCAACAGGGGTGTGGTGCTACACGATAAAATTTCAACAGGGGTGCCCATGTTTTCTTTTTGGGGTCAGAAATTGACAAATCGATATCTTTGGGCTGCTGAAAATCATTGTGGTTTTCCGGAGGATTAGAAAATTATTTGTCACAATTGGAGTGTGATAGAAGCTTTTCCACTGTAAATATATAAAGAACAGATTACGTAGAAATTTTTCGCAGCCAAACCTGGAGTTCTTCATGTTAATGTTCTTAGAAAAACACCTGTTAGATGACATCCAGAACGATCACATTATCAACATATAAGTTACTGAACTTAGAAAAAAAGTCAAACCAATGAGTTAAAATTTTTGTTTATTTACTATTTTGTCAGCAAATGACATATTTAACATGTTCTGTTAACCAGCATTCATCCATGCAGAAAATTACTGAATTTAAAAACTTTTTCTTCACAGACTAACATTTACTTGCATTTTCCGAGGAGTTTTTTATTTGCTATTTATGTGGGCCGGTTTGATCAAATTTGCCCGGCCCAAAAAAATTAGCCAGTCCGCCCCTGAGCAATATGTTGCATTTATGGTTTTACAGCTGTCTTACTTTGTTAATTTTTATCAAGAACCATAAGGGACCGTTGTTAAAACCAAATTTAGTGAATTATGCTCTTTATAATGCCTTTCGACAAAAGTATTAAATTATAAATGAGATTATAAGCAAAATAAGAGATTGTAAATGAGATTATAAGCAAAATGTGACATTATAAATGCTATTTTTCATCATTTCAACCTTAGCACCAAAACCGCAGAGAAGGGCACTCAAATAGGGATATTATGGGGGCCAACGGGGGTCTGCCTTGTCAGGGTACCCATTTCGCCTTGACATGCTTTATGAAATATTTATATATTTAGCAACATTAAATCGTTATAAAGGATCTGGGATTATTTTCTAGTTCAGAAATTGTACTCTGATATAAATATGACATGGCAGGGGAGACAGGATAGATTATATAAAAGGCCGCTTTCTAAAATGCAGTTATTGTTTCTAAAGTAAAACATTCGTCCTGAGCTGCAGTACAAGTAGATTATTGGTGCGGTCATTAAGTTTTATCAATTTACATGCGCACTATAGGCGCACAAAGTCGATCCCACCAACAACGTATTGCGGGGACTCATAGCATCATTTCCGATGTCAGCACTTTTTAACAGCTAGGTTGAAATGACACAAAACGAGGCCCGACCCCGACACCTCTTCCCCCCTCAGCCTTGGTTGTAGCTATTAAACGAATGTATATATTTCATCTATTTGATAGCATACATAACACGATGAATGTGAAAAAAATGATCATATTTTCATTAGTAAAAATGTCATTTAGGATTGTGTTTCAGGTATTCTTTTTTGAAATGGTAGAAATTCCTGTATAAAAGTACGATTTTAACACTCGACTGACGTTAAAAACTGCAGCTTTAGGGGTTTACCCCCTGTACTCCCACAGGGGCGTTGCCTGTTGACCACACCCAACGCCGCATACCGACTTCAACAGCTCAATCTACGCCACTGCTGTCCTCTATTGGTTTTCCGAATCTTGAACATTGCTAATGAGTCACCGGCAGTTGTTGATGAGTTTCTAGATCATTGCGTCTATATTTATTTTTGCTCTAAGTTTAATCATTATAAAACGGACAGAGCTCTCAGTCTCATGTTTTACTAATTATTCCAACAAATATGGATCAGTTTTTCACCGTTTTTTCCAATGTTTTATTAACAGACTAGCAAACAGGCGTCAAACATAACAGACAAGAACGAGTATCTGCTAATTTCCTCCTTCCTCTTCGATTGTCTTTGGTCAGCATAAAAGCAGTCACCAGGCATCCTCTTTCAGTTAGTTCGAACAAGACCAGATTGATTTCCTTCACTCTGCAGCATCATCTCACAGATAGCAAAATGAAAGCAACTTTGGTTATTCTCTTGCTTGGCCTGATTGTCATCTCACAGGTCGAGTCTCTCACCAGTGGTGGTCTTCAGATGTGGGGAAAAAGAGCTTTACGTGTAAGCATTTTGAATATTGCATATCTTTTAGTTTCATTTCAAATAAAACCTACAAATGTTTTTACCTTTAGTGTTGCTTTAAGATCTTCGATTTCCTTTCTTAAGTTAGGATCTTAGAAGCATTTGATATGCATATGTACAACTCATTAAAAAATTCTTCAGGCCAAGTTAATCAAAGCCTGCGCGCGTTGAGCAGACTAAAACTGTTCAAGTGAAACTGTGTCAAGGAAAAGCCCCGTCCCATTGGCGAAGACACAATGTGAGAAGATGATTGATCGTAGATTTCAGATAACCAATATTAATGATTTTGAGACGATCGATCGATTCATAGTCTTTGGTGGAGGCAATGCTTTAACTTCGTCCATCATCGTAAACCACTGTGCGCTGAGCTGGGATTTCGTAGGTTTGCAGAAACTGTTCACATGATATTCTCTATGCGCAGTTTTATGGGTGAACTGTAAGCTATAAGCTACCTTTATATGTGTCAAATGCCTGTAAGTTTTTAAGGTTTTTTGAAATAACAATGAACTTAATCTCGATATTCAATTTTAGGAGAGGGCCGAACAAGCAGAGACATTGCAGAAAACCGCTTGTGCTTTTTGCAGAATGAACGTACATGTGTGCGAAAACCTCTCGCGAAGATCTGCTGAAAATGCAGAGAAAAAGTAAAGCTTCGAGCTGGCAATAACAACACCAGTGACTTATTTGTAACTAGCAGAATAGACTTGAAAAATGTGTATTTGAATGCATCATATCAATTAAAATGATCGAGTCCTCTATCAACGCGTCGTTCATTATTTTCTTCCATTTGATGTTAAACCTTGCATCTTAGCCAATCAATGGCTATACAACATCTCTTACCATGAAGCAAACTAATTTCATGTTGTTTGCTCGTTATTCTATGAAGCAAACTTAATGTTGTTCGGTCGATATTCACTTGTTTACTGGTTGTCAACTTCTCAGAACCTTTCAGAAAATCCGTCTGTTTTGACTTACTTTCATCAATGCCTAAGGAAGACTTCTTGAATTTTTAACGGAACGGTTGATGTGCGATGGCGATCTTTGCAGTGACCATTTCATCGTTACATTTCATACTATGTAGTTTGCTCTTTAGATTTAGAGATTTAAAGCTTGCAAATAGTTTTGTTATGAATAGCAGTAAGCTGAGTGCTCGGAAAGTCATATAAAATTAATGCTCACAAAATTCACTTACGCTGTATGTCTTGTGAATTTTGAATTTACTTTTGGAAAAGATGACCTAAATATATATAAATATGAAAATTAAGAGAAGAAAATGAACTTCAAGTTTTATGTGCTCGCGTCATTAATCTCTGTTTTGAACGCATTGTTTCTTCAATCAAATTGAGGATTTTCTTATTAACCTTGAGAAAAAAGAGAGTTTTTTATGAAAGTGCAATAAAGGGTTAATGTGTACCTGTTTTGGGGATTATAAAAAAACATCTTTTTCTGAATGAGCCTGGGTATTGCAAAGTTTGGAACAGAATCCTTTCACGCAAACAGTTTTATCTCCTTTTGAAAAGTATTTCTTAATGTGACATGTTTCCACTTTTCCATGCTATTGTCAAATGTTATTTTTCGAAATGGCTTTGAAAAAAGCAACCATTTGCGTAAACTAAAGCTTTTCGTCTGACAGTCTTCAGAGTTTAAATCAGTGCCCATTGTCTTTTGAGATTGTAACCAATGGAGTCCTAAGGTGAAAACGAACTCCTTTTGATTGGTCAGCTTCAACAATCCTGTGCTCGCGTTTCTGATTGGCCTATTTTGATCCACAACTGGCCTTTCCTAGCTGATTGGCCTAGGATTTATAGGAGGAATTTCCTAGCTGATTCCTAGCTAGCGCGTTTCTGATTGGCCTATTTTGATCCACAACTGGCCTTTCCTAGCTGATTGGCCTAGGATTTATAGGAGGAATTTCCTAGCTGATTCCTAGCTAGCGCGTTTCTGATTGGCCTATTTTGATCCACAACTGGCCTGTCCTTGCTGATTGGCCTAGGATTTATAGGAGGAATTTCCTAGCTGATTCCTAGCTAGTGCGTTTTTGATTGGCCTATTTTGATCCACAACTGGCCTTTCCTAGCTGATTGGCCTAGGATTTATAGGAGGAATTTCCTAGCTGATTCCTAGCCAGCGCGTTTCTGATTGGTCTATTTTGATCCACAACTGGCCTTTCCTAGCTGATTGGCCTAGGATTTATAGGAGGAATTTCCTAGCTGATTCCTAGCCAGCGCGTTTCTGATTGGTCTATTTTGATCCACAACTGGCCTTTCCTAGCTGATTGGCCTAGGATTTATAGGAGGAATTTCCTAGCTGATTCCTAGCCAGCGCGTTTTTGATTGGCCTATTTTGATCCACAACTGGCCTTTCCTAGCTGATTGGCCTAGGATTTATAGGAGGAATTTCCTAGCTGATTCCTAGCCAGCGCGTTTCTGATTGGTCTATTTTGATCCACAACTGGCCTTTCCTAGCTGATTGGCCTAGGATTTATAGGAGGAATTTTCTAGCTGATTCCTAGCCAGCGCGTTTTTGATTGGCCTATTTTGATCCACAACTGGCCTTTCCTAGCTGATTGGCCTAGGATTTATAGGAGGAATTTCCTAGCTGATTCCTAGCCAGCGCGTTTCTGATTGGCCTATTTTGATCCACAACTGGCCTTTCCGGGTATATAAGTTTCCTAGCTTAGAGTTTTCGATCTATTTTCTGGCATTTTAAACTCTGGAGAGCGTTAGACGAAAAACTTTAGTTTACTCAAATGTTTCTTATCTTTTGCTCATCTAAATCTCATGAAATGTGAAGACCAGTGCTTGGTGTTTTTTAGTGTTTTGAAACTTAAAAGTTTATTATATTGCGTTTTAAATATTTTATTTTGTAAACATCAATTAGTTGTAGTTTAGCTTCTCTTAAGTGCCTAGTGTGAAGGTATTAAAAGTAAAATAAAATTTTAATGAAATATTGCGTTGGAATTTTTTGACAAAACTTTCATATCGATAATTGAAAGGCTCGTTTGGCTCCTTTACATAAATTATAAGGGTATCATTTATCAAAACAAAGTTGTCGTTTTATGAAATGACGTTTTTCTCTTTTCCATTTTCTGCAGCATACCACCTACAGGGGTTATGTAAAGTTGCTTTAGGTTTCATTTTCTAATAATTTCCCTTTGCAATTTATGATGACGATTCAAAAACAGAGCAGTATTTCCCCTCTGAACTGTGGTCTTTAAAGACTCATGTTACTTTGCAAGTTTTCGGAACGCAGATGACACTGACTTCTGCATGACCAATTAGTGGCGGCTCCAGCCTGGGATAAGTGGGGGAGGACAAAAGGTGTGTCGGGGACCGCGCCTTTTTTCCTTGTGTGAAACATTTTTTTCTGGAGGAAACACCTCTTGTCTCCCAAGAAATTTCATTTAAATGTGACAATCTTGATAACGTTCATACCCCCTCCCCCAAGTTTTCTTATCAGGTTTGCAAGAATCTCAAGGAAAAACTTTCTGCAAATTTGGGGGGGCTAGTCCCCCCATTCCTCCCCCGTTGCTCTGCCACTGTGACCAATACGTATCATTTGCACCATTTTCAAAATCACTATTTTTTTGCATCACGGACTCTTAGGATCAGTTTTTCTTAAGTTTTGATGTTTAATTATCTTTGGTTTGGTTTGGGGTATTTATGTCTTCATTTCAAGATAAGACAAGGCATGAAAATCATCTAGGTCAGTTTCAAAAACTATGGCATTTTGAACACATCTTGGTTTATTCGTGAGCATGATGTCTATTGACGAGTGATCCCAAACAATTAATTCTGTTTCAAAAAGTATATTTACTCAAAAATCGAGTTAAAACAATGTTTGGATTATAAGCTCTGAGATTTCAAATCCCCCAATGTAACATAACACGGAATATTTGGTTGCGCTTATTTAACTGGAGCTGCAGCGAAAGAAATTTACTTCACCTATTTGAGGCATTTGTACTACTGAAAGGGATATAGAGTTGGTCAGGTGACCTAGATCTCAGCCTTGCTGCAATTACTGTTGCGCATTAGAAACTGTTAACCATTATCATTTCCAGCTGCAGAATGATCCTTCCACGTGAAATTGTGAATTTAGAAAACAATGCAGTATTTAGTTGGAAAATGAGAGGCTATCGAAAGCATTTTTATGCTGAGAAAGAGGCTAATCAGATTTTAACGTTTTCGATACGTTGAAGATTGACTGATGTTATAGTGAGTGGATGGCTACAGTGTCTGGGGGCTACTTTTAAAGTTTTATCTACAATATTCTGGGGCACTATTCTTGAATTTAATCGTTTGGTCTTTCAAGTTGACATTAATCTCGTTAAGGCGTGAAATATAATCACAGTCCATAAGAGCATCTTTTATTTCATCGTTACGTCTCTTTTTATAGCCTTAGTTTTATATAATATTGTAAATTAGGTTAGGTAAGTAAATTTCTTTTGTTATTAGTATTAGTGCTTATTTTAATCTTTCAAACAGGTCAGGTTGAAAAACATATATATGTATGAGCCTTTAACCTGTATAAATATTATAAAATGAAAGAAATTCCCAAATTCTCCTTGATTTTTCGATTTAATAAGAGAATTGACAAAATGAATAGCATTCTACATGCGTGTTAAATATTTTACAATGTATCATGATCAAAATTTAACTTTCTGCATCAATTTGCGTGATCAATTAAAAGCTTAGGAGAAACCACGGCAAATAGTGTTTTAATAACATGAGACTTCCAGCCAAGCAGATTTAAATCAAAAGTATTAAATATTTTTCCTCATATCAGCTTTTGCCGCTATATTTTATGGTTCTTTTGCAAGCTCTCTGTAGTTCTTGAGGTCTTTCAGCTCGAACTCTGCTTTAGTCATTCTTGGTTCGTAGCAATACCTCTGGTTTTCCATGCAAAATTTGCAGACAATTGTTTGAAGAAGTTCCCCTCTCTTTGCTTTCTGTGTGAAAAAGTTGATGGCAAAAACTTTATTTTTCTGTAACTGCAACAGGGAAATAGGGTTCCGCTTATAGTTACGGGAGTGCTTAACCTTAGTCTGGTTGCATTCGCGACATTTACCCTTAGAAACAAACATTTGGTTCTTAGTATGAGAGAGTGGCAAACAATGACAATTTAGCATCATGCTATTTGCAGAGTGGCAAACAATGACAATTTAGCATCATAGAATGCATGCTATTTGCAGTTGATCGTGGAGACGATTTGAGAATCTGAAAGACGTTTTTTCATCTGTTTTAGAATTAAAATATATGAGCTCTCTTTGTTGATTTTATTTCGAAACTATCATTTTCTCCCAGTGTAGAAATTAATTACAGGATTCAAATATTGATCTGCATTCCATGATGATATTTTCAAGATTGAAGAGCATCGACAAATAAAATCAAGCGAAAGGACCAACATTATTACAATGTTTTTCTGATAAATTCAAGTTGCCTTTATTGAATGTTTGCCTATTCACTTACCTCGTGTTGGCGTTTTCCCCACATTTGTAGCCCGCCACTGGTCAGGCAGTTCACCCCAGCAAGGAAATCCACACTGATCATAAAAAGCAACAAACATAACCTCTTATTCATAGCTGCTGTTGGCAAAGTTACTAAGATTTTGCTTCCACTTGGCAACAATTATGCTATAATACTGAGCTCATTGCAGCAAGGCGTCTTTTATACATGACGAATTTGCCGCAAATATTCTTGCTCGCTCGTTAAGCATCTTAATCGCAGCTTAGAAAAGAGTTCTTTGTTTTAAACGAACACGTTTTTTTACGCTCGACCAAGGCTTTTTTGAAAAATGCACCTAAATGTACAGCTTTTTTTAAGTGGGCTTAATTAACTGAAGAAAACAGATACAATTTCTTTTAAAACTACTGAGATTATACAAACTAGGGAAACGGCTTCACAAACAAACGAAGTGAAATGAATGAAATACAATCTAATCTGTTTGCATGAGACACTTCAAGTTCGTTTTTTCTGATTTTTTTCGTTTTCAGCGTATAAGCATTTGATAGATCTCTTTGAAAAAAAGATATGCTTCCAAGACAATTTGCTAGCCCGGGTAATTAATTCTAGAAAAACGTTTCTCCTTTAACTGAACAAAACGATGTCAAATTGGCATTTGGGTATCGTTATTGAGGAAGATAAAATTATGTTTGCTGGGGGTCTCCTTTCATGTCATCTATTGTTATTTCACAGAACTACGGGAACTGCCATTTATCTTGTTCAAGTGATTAAAGCAAACTTTAATCTTGAAAGTAAATATAGATACAAAAATTATTTTGAGCACAAACAGATAACAACGTTATTTGAAGTTTTGTTTGAATTGACGGCAAATCATCCCGCTATCTCTTCTTCAAGGTACAGTCAATAAAAGACTGCCTAATTTAAAATTCACTGGCGACAGTGCTTTCGATTGCCTGCATCGTGATTCTTTTTCTATTCATTTGTCGTCGTCATTTTTGCTCTGTTTATCGTCTTAAAACAAAACTCTGTTCAAATATCCTCAAAGCACCTCTTTATCTGGCTAGAAATTCGTCACTGCGTGGTACGCAGCTAATTTTGTAGAATATTTCATCTTTACCATCCTTTCCTCCGCATTTCCTCAGCATTTCCTTCCCATTTCCTCCGCGTTTTCTCCCACCCTATAAATATCGTGGCTATTTGAAAATCACTCTCGTGTTTGCAAGTCAACGAAGTTGCAGAATGGACCTTCTCAAGATTTCACTTCTTTTTAGCGGTAAATAACTGCATTATACTAGTTTCTAGATTTACAGTTAAGAGTTTTTAATTTTTTAATATTTTGTTAAAGATTTGGGCCGATGGATTATGTTTTACCTTTTAATGTCCTTAAATTTCCATAAAACTCACGATATTTTGTTATTCCACCTTAGCACTGAATATATTATTGATACTTATCAGGACTCCATCTAGCGAAAAAGCAAAGAATAGATAAAAGAGTGTTTTTAAATAGGAACAAGAGACGAGCAATCGAAGAATACACTCTTCCAACGTTACCTCTCTGGTGCCCCTCCAACTCAATTGCTTGTGAATTAGTGATTAAGCAAATTGTCGATCAACAAATAGGCTAATAGGCAAGTTACTTTTGGTAGTTAGCTATCGAGAATTCATGCTACATGCTTTCAAGGTCTCTCAAGTTACAAATATTAAAAGTTACACGATAATATAATCATTGCTCCATTGTTTTGCGCATGTTAGCTTTACCTTCATGGTTCCAGCTTAAAATGTTTGCTTAAAAAATCTCTAATTGTTCACGTTGATCTCAAGAGGGGAATTTTCATGTTTTGCATATGCATTTATCGTTTTTCAGCAAAAAAGCTTACAAACCGCGAAAATGTTATTATGAATATGCACATGGAATCGATTCTAATATTTATAAGTAATACTCTACTTAAGTAACGTGTTCCATTCAGCAACGCCAGTGGCCAATCGAAGGCCTATTTGTGTTTGATACTGAATAAAATATAATTTGATAACACATAATCTTTTTCACGATTCAAGTGACCCATATTAACTAAAAGGAACACTGCATACGAGGTATCAGGCATTGAAGTTAACTTCATCTTCATTTTTAAAGTAGAGAAATTGACTGAGTGAATTGACATGATGATTTGCTCGTTTAAAAACCTTTTCATGCGTATTTTCAGTCGTATTAAGGGGATCTTTTATACGCAAACATTTCAATCGTCCTTAAGTAATTATAGTTACACAACGTTAGGTCTTGGCTGCCAATTAGCATAAATTTTCCAATCATCCTGGCATTAGCCTTTAGGCAACTTTGGACACGTTATTTTGAACGTTGAGATCATTTGACATTCACTTTACTCTATCATTCTACCGTTTATAAGCAACCTTTAAACCAATCGACTTTTTACATACAGTGTTTTTCTGTTCTTTCTCTCGTCTTATAACCGTGTTCATTATCAACTAATATGAATAAAGATAGTTTAAAAAAAACTTAAAATTGTACGTAAATAGTTTTTGGCGGTGCAGAATTTAAAAAATGACTCTGAAAAGAGAAAATATTTTAAAAAATAATTAAGCTTTTCGTCTGACACTCTTCAGAGTATAAAACGTGATAAAATTGACGTTCATGAAAAGACTACTAATGTCGAAAGAGTACTGAAAGATGCTTTGATATCGATTATGAGATTGTCAATGTGCTCTGAAACTTTTCATGTAAAGAGGCTTTTTCATTATTCCTTTGGGCTTATCGTAATATTATGGTTTGAGAATTTTGGCGTACTTTGTTCTTATTTTTAACTATATTTTTAATATTTCACAGTATTTCGTTTCGTTTCGTGTCGTTTCGCTGATTATAATCAGCTTTCTTTGGAACTTGGCTAGTAATATCGTATGATGACTCACTTGATGGTTTTGCAAATAAAGATATTCTCAGAAAAAATTATTTTGAAACAGGTTACAAACCGGGCTTGAAAATTTAAAAGTTAGTATCATGTATTAGAACGGCTTCAAAATTCTCAAAGAAGTTCATCTTGAGTTAACTCACTATTTTAAGTTTAAATCAAGTTTGAGGAAGGTTTAGCTGAGGAGAAGAGCAGTCAGAGGAATGTTTAGCTTTTGCGCATGAAAGTCATCACATCATATGGTAAAATATTTGCAAAGGATACTAAGAGCATTTCCACAAAGGATAGAGCATTTCCACAAAAGAAAGATTTTTGGTTTTAAACAAGCCAAAGAAATAGAGCTAAACGTTTCCACTCAACCTTGTAGTGCTTTGCTTTCCTTAAAGTGTCTCTTAGATTATCTGCCATTTAAATATGATTCATCTTTTTGTAGGTTATTTGTTCACGAATGCGCAGAATTTTGATGAATACCTACGTGACTACTCTCCAAACTGCCAGAGTATGATGAAAAGTTACCCAATATGCAACGATGTCCTTATGCAGTACGTGTGCTTGAAGTCTTGTGCATACGAAAAGGAATGTAAGTATCACTGGTTGGTATATCAATAGCCACCCTATCGTTTTACTGTCCGCTTAATACATCTTTCTTAGATGAATCAGATTAGGTACATTACAGCAAAAAGATGGAGAATTTTGTTTTCTTTCCTTTAAACTGCCAACTTTTAAAAATGCTTTCAAGATAAATTGATTTTTTGAGTTTGATACCCTTTGCTGAATAAAAAAAAATTTGAACTGCCATTGAAATGAAAACTTTATTTATCTCAGTCCCACTTACATGCGGAAAAAGGCATGTTGTATCATCGCAATTTCAAGAAAACAACACAGCAAAGAGAGCAAGAGGAAAATATGCTGGTTCAAGAAAATTTAAGCTCGCGGTTCCTAAATTTGCTAAGGAAAAAAGAATCGTTGGAGGGACGGAGAGCGAAGAAGGGTCTTGGCCATGGCAAGTTGCTTTAATGTTTAAGGGGAAACAGCACTGTGGAGGAGCTCTGATTTCACCCGGTTGGGTTGCAACAGCCGCACATTGTTTTGGTGAGTCCAAAGTCTTTTTCAAAACTGTACATTATAGTACATAGTATTTAAAAAATACACGTTTCAGGATTTCCTGCAGCAAGTATGTTATTAAACCCATGTAAGTTACTAAATCAAATAATTCTATTAAATTATAAAATTTTGCAGCCAGCTACAATAAATGAAAATTTAAGTTAGAAAGTTCGATTGCACTTTGGTAGATGATGGACACTTTTGTGTTGAACTATTTTTTAATAGATTCAGGCCGATTGCTTTCACCTTCCTTTTGTTTAATTTCAAGAGAGTCTCCTTTATATTTCTAATTTGTAGGGAAATCAACTTCGAAGATTGCAAGCGATTGGAGTGTTGTCCTGGGTGAATACAAGCTTGCATCTACTGATAAATTTGAGCAATACAGACAAGTGAAGAAGATCATAATTCACCCGCAGAACTTCCGTTATTCGGATATTGGCTACCATGATATACCTGATGATTATGATATTGGTGAGAGGAAGACTGCATTCGTTACCACTTTCAAGCATTCAAATTCATTTCCCCACATTTATCGAATTGGTGGTTTCACGAGAAACACACTTTTCCTTAAATCAGTTCTTATAGCAACAGGATAACTAAAAGTTAACTCCTGGAACCACAAAAATCCAGTGTTCAGTTGGAAATTCAAGGACAACTTTAACTTAAGTTCTTTATATTTAAAATTGGCCTGAAAAAACCATTCAGAGTTAGAAACATCAGAATATAGGTTGAAAACTCTTTGTTTCTTTTCTGCCATTTTATACTCTGAAGAGTGACAGATGGAAAGCTTAAGTATGTTTCAAAATGTTTCATTTTTTTAAATCCATTTCTAATTGTTGTACCACAAAAAGATTGTTTGGTGTATATTTTTCTTCACAAAGTAGTCAAGTTGTTCCTTAAGATTTGTCCTTGTCATGATCGAAACATAGGCAATTTGCTGAATCACTGTCGACCGCGATATTCCCATTTCTAGGCTCTTTTCTCTTGAATTAAAAGTATGAGCCTTGACTAGTTAATACCATGCCTAAATGAATAGAACCAATGCTGTAAATAAATAACAATGTATCCAAAATACAAACTATCAAATTTAGGGTGCCTCAAGACTCCTGTCTTAGCCTGCTCCTATTTTTTATCTTTATAATTGCCTTACAAAGAACAAAGGTCAAAATGTTCAGATGTGGTTCAGATGGCAGAACCACTTCCTATTCTTCGAAATCTAAGTCCAGCCTTAGCAATGCTATCAACTAAGACATTCAGAGAACGAGATTGCACTGATACGACAAAAAGCCAAAAATGTTGCAGATTAAAACATTCGTTGCCATTAATATCACAGCTATGCTGGTTAACAATAAAAACACAAAGATGGGAAAAACACATATAATAAATCAGTTTACTTCAAGTTACTTATTGTATTTAACTCGGTTGAATTGAAATAAAAACGAAAACTTGATATGAAATGAAATTGAAAGTGTCAAAAGTTCTAAAAGCACAGCAAACATGATTTTAAACGTGAATCTGACATGGTACGAGAAATTTGTCGGTTTGTTTTCGAGAAAAAAAGTCGTAAATTTTTTGCGAAAGTGTCAAAGCGTGAAATTGACTTGATTTAAAGGTAATCTGTCACGACGTTGATTGGTTATAAGAACAAAGGGATTATTTATTGTTTCCAGTCCCCTCTTAATTTATCGCATTGTAAAAAATATGGCGGAGCGCTGGAATTGTGTTTAGGCTATTGTTCCAGCTATTGTTCTCGTTAACCAATCCACAACGAGACAGATTGCCTTTAATTGATAGGGAACCCCACTTATGAAACTTTGTTCCCTTTTTTGACGACAGAGCTTAATGATACTTCTCGGCTATAGAAGTGTTTCTTCCTTTCATTTGCATTTTGGTTTAGGATAATGATTTGTCAACTTTGTTCTGCGGTCACAGCAAACTGCTTTGCTGTTCAGTGCTTACTCAAGATTTGAACTTTTAAACTAGGAAAGGAAGACAGAACAATGAGCTTGACATGCGTTTCATTTGTTTGTAGCTCTCGTACAACTGTCTCATGCAGCTGTCCTGTCCGACTGGGTGAATACCATCTGTCTACCGGACGACCTTGTCAGTTTTCCTCATGCAAAACAATGTTACATCGCTGGTTGGGGCAAAACACAGTGGGGAGGTTCACAGCCTGATGCGCTGAGAGAAGCAGTTGTTAAGCTTGTTGCAAGGACCACATGCAATTCTCCTGAATCCTACAATGGAAAGGTTCATCAACGCGCTATATGCGCTGGTTATGCTGATGGTGGAGTGGACGCGTGTCAGTATGACAGCGGAGGAGCACTAGCCTGTGAGTTCAATGGCAGGTTCTACGTACATGGTCTTGTCTCCTGGGGTATTGGATGTGCAAGAAAGTTTAAATATGGCGTTTATGCGAATGTCCCAATTCTTAGAGGATGGATAGTCGAGACAATTTTAAATGAAGAACCCACCATCAAAACGATTGCGAATCGATTGAATGATGTGTTTAAGCCTTTACTAAACTCAACAGAACTTTTTTGATAGTAAGACGGTTTTACACTGAGAAGACGTTTACCAGGACACGTCCTTTGTTGAATGTAGAAATAATGATGATGATAATCATAACAGGCTGAAAACATCAATGTGTGTATACTGCTATTTAGTCACCGTAACTGAGTGAAAAATAAAACTCTTGTAGAAGAAAAGAGCGTTCCACTTGAAGGTTTATAGAAAGGCATTATCGCAAGGCAAAAGGGCGGGTTTCTCCACCACCGTAACCTACTCTGCCTGATCCTTGTTGTATATGAAATATATATCTATATGTAGACACCTCGATGCAATAAATACACAGCTATTTGATAGTCAGCAACGTTTGAGCTAGATTCTCAGTCTTTTGTAAGGAGGAAAAGCCTATTGCTAAAAAAGGTCAAAAGCAAGTTATAATTCCAAATGTTAAGCTTTGAACGGCTGACCTAGGCTCAAACATACCCTTCATCAACCCTTCATCAACCCTGTTTGAAGGCTTCTCACTATTTAGGTCTTGAACAGATGCCAAGACACTTTTTGCTGTATCTCCGAACTAAAAGCAAAACTGTTCTTAGGCGACATACTTAAAAATCAAGATTATTTCTATATTAGATAGAGATTCAAAAATAGCAATATGCAATCTGAATATATCTACCACGCTTGTGCTACCAATTCTAAGATGGTGGGGGGGGGGGGGCAGCAGAAAAAAATGACCTTGAAAACTACTTCAGATCTAAAACTGCTAGATGAAAGGACGACCAGAAAACATTGCTATTAACTAAAATGGCCTAAAGTATAAAGTAACACGTTCATAAAATTACCATGGTTGGTAATATTTTCTTTCCGATATGAAGCTCAAAATAACCAGGTCATGTAAAACTAACATCCAAAAATTGGAGAATCGAGCTGCATTTACTAGACTATCCAGACACTACCTAAACTATAATGGCGACATGTTTCAGATCATTGGCTGAACAACCGAAAAATCAATAATCTAAAATGCCTGCTAAAGTATTTGGAACACCAAGCAATTTGCTTTGCATTTCATATCTTTCATTCCTTTTTCGAGAAATAATTGCTACTTCCGCCCCCTTCCCCCTCAAACAATGTTGATAATCTAGAGAGATGTCATAAAAGAAGCGCAAAAGAGAGTGCTTCCATATACCCTAAAAATTACAATCAAGAAAATGACTAAAAAGCGAAGTTTGTGTCCTTGCTGGATGCTTTTAATTTCAAAAATGATGCTTCAGTTTGTATGTTATTGGTTTAGGTTATTGAAAATTCTTTTCTCCCTGGAACAAGAAGGTTTTACGTCAAATTTCTGATGCTCCTGGCAATGCGGATGTTCCTTGCTTCACCAGTGGTTCAATTACCGCTCCATGACCAATTCAATCAAAGCTTTCTATATTCAATGCAGGTTTTATACAAAATTGTTACATACTCAGATAAAAACGAAGAACAGACCGTTCCCTGCATTGTTTGAAAGAATTTGAAAAGTCTTTCTAGGGTCCTAGACGAAACAGGCCTGTGTTACATGGAAGCTCTGCCCCTGGCTCCGATCAACATTTGGTCAGGTATCAGGTTCGTCTTTGCGTACGCTTTTGAGATGGCTCCACTTTTGATCACCTTTTCGAAGCTAAATTAACAGACAGTACAGGGTTTTCATTTGACCAAAATGATGCAGATGAGGACACATTATTGAATATTTCTTCGTAGAAAAATTATATTTAGCCGCATTATTGAGCTTTCAAGGTGCGAGTCAGTTTTCCTTTGTTATATATAATTTCTTTACGTTTTCATGACTTGGAAATTAGTTCAGATATCCAAGTCATACATACAGAGCTAAATTTAGGGAATAAAAAGGGCTTCTACTACCTAGATATAGAAGCTACCAATGAAATAGGATGGTCCATATTTAATGAAACATGTGAAAAGGACGATTGATTTCTGTTCTTCCGCATCAGTGGCGAATGTAGTGGTTCTTGGAAGCTTTAATATGGAGACTGAGGACCAAGTTCTACACTCAATAATGGATGACCATAACTTCATTTTAATTAGCAGCAAACATGGTTTTCTTTAGGGCCAAACATTTGAAATAGGTTTTGGTGACATTCACCATCTAATTAATGCTGTTCTCAATACTACATCCATCAAATTAACCTCTAAAATGAACATTTGATGATCCTTTAAAAAGTTTAAAGAATAGTTTTTTGCCAAGAATAAGTAAGCAATCTAAAAGGGCACTCTCCTAAAGAACACGACGATATTAACAATATTTTTGTTAGTCCCTTAACAAATGCACCCCTGATAGCAGGTGTTACTCAAGATAATAATAAGCCACACATGAATAAAAACATTCTAAGGGCCATTATGGCGCGGATAAGACTCAAGGAAAATTGGTAACTAAGGACTGGAACGATTTCAACAGGTACAAAAGCAAATGAATCGGGTCGTTCAAATCAATAAATGGACGATAAGAGATCTATTCAAGGAGCTTGATCTAGCTAAATTAGATAATGACAAAGTATTCAGGAAAGCGTTTAAATCAGGGACCGCGCACCACTCTAAAAGTGGAGGGGCTGAAATGGGTGTGACCGAAAAAAATTTTGAGGCCACGCCCTCTTCAACGCCGAAAAACGCCCCTTTTAGAAAATGCTTGCTTATTTCTATTGAATTTTTATAAACAGTCTGGTTCAGAAAAGATATCAATAACTATAAAAATAGATAGAATTAGCTCGAGGGTAATAAAAAACCAAGCTAACCAAGTTAAAAAATACATCATATCACTTAACAAGATGAAACACCTAGAAAAAGAACAGGAATGGTTCTCAGTCAAGAAGAACTGCTACTACATAGGAGTAAACTATCTAAAATTGCGTTAGAGTAAACCTTCAAAAAAATTTGTAGCCTATTGTTGCAAAAAAGTGGGTGGGCTATAGCCCCTGCTAGCCAAATGGCTGCGCGGTGCCTGGTTTAAACCACTACTGTCGTGTAATGGCCCGAACGATGTGTCAAGAAAAACACTTGCAGAGAATGATACAGTACTTACCAGTCACAAGGATATAAGTAAATGCTTCAATAGCTATTTTTCTAATGCTACCAGGATGAAATATCACTGACACTCTCGATGTCGGAAAGCCAACTCAACCAAAAAAATCATTTTAAAATTTCAGTGGCTCATGACATTGTAAACGATCAAAAAAAGCATCGAACGGAAATGAAAAATTTAGCTTTCTTCCTTATAGTAATGTTGGTGTTTGGGATAAAATCACTCACCGAGACAGATCTAAGACGGTTAATGAGGATATACCTGTCGCTGTCTTAGAATTTCACTCTGTTTTGATAATGTAACAGCCATTGTTAATAAAATGTTAGAATCTAGACATTTCCCCAATAAACGGGAAACAAACCCAGAGAAAATGTCGGCATCGCCTCCTTCTTCGCGATCGCGATCTATCTCTGAAATGGGACAGAATTTTGTGGGAAAAGAATCGCGATCGGGTGTTTTCAGGATTAGTATCGGGGTGTATGATAAATCGCATTCACTGATCACTTGATCAACTAACTGTTCTATTCACCTCAATTCGTTATGGAAACGAGTTTCTCTCCCAGAATCCAATTCTTCACAGACCCGGAAATCTATCGATCCTTCCATCAATGGGTTTGGCTTGTGTTGTAATTGCATGGAAGAAAAAGGATAGAAAGACTTTCAAAGTAAGTGGTAAGTTTGCCAACGCATTTCGTATTAGAGGAGAAGACGTCAATAATGGTTTTTACACAATAGCTTTGCCAAATAGTCGAGCATGGGGAACTGGCCATGTAAAAAGTGTCGGAAAGGCGATAGGCCTAACAAATATACTCCAACTCAAACAACAGCCAATGTAGATAAAACAGAAGAACCAACTCCAACGCAAACACCGAGTCCGCTGCAACCAACACCTCCTTTCCCAGATCCTAGGGCTGAAGTTGTTGTCGCTATTTACCGCTATGATGGCAGAACTGACGATGATTTGTCATTTGAAAAAGGAGACCAGCTTGAGGTTAGAGACAGCACCGGAGATTGGTGGTACGCCCGTCATAGGAAGACCGCAAAGAAGGGATATATTCCGTGCAACTATGTTGCCCCTTTGCAGTCACTTAAAGCAGAACCGTAAGTATAAATCTATTCTTTCCATTCAGTCAAATTTTTCAACTAAAAGTAAAACCTACCTGTTCAGACTGCATTCTCTGTGTTTTTGCACGGAGAACATATAAATTCTGGTATACGCATAGATTACACAGATTTGAATAGATTTCGCGGAGAATATATTCTTGCATAGATTGCTGTCTGGCTACCTGTCTTGTCTGCTTTGTGTGGGCATGAAATCTCAAAATCATTAATGAATTAGCTCTTTTATTACAATGGCAAGTAATTTGGGTTTTTTTTGATACCATTATAATCTCTTCTGTATGATCTTTTCTAAATGGAGATCTGACATGAGAAAACGAAAGCTCTAAGTTACCTTACTGGTAAAAAAGTAAATGAAAACTTTCTAGAATCTGTCTAGGTGACCAATTTTTAGGAACAATACTTTTAATCAAAATTTGTTCCACGGAGTTTGACTTTTAGCCAATTTTTATCAACTTGTTGTTAATTTTAGCCAATCTTTCTGACTGACTACAATATTTTCACACTGACTTACTCATCAGTAATTTTACACTAACTTTCTCACCACTAATCCTAATCTATTAGTTTTGCCATGAATAAAAGCTAATAAACAGAGCATAAAATATTCAAATTTATTCAGATAATAGCGATAAGAAACACACTAAACACCTAATAAGAGTTTCCAATTCTCTGTAGCACCTTTTTCGCACAAATTGAACAAAGTCTTCTGTGATACCAGTAATATTATATTTATATCTGATCCTTCAGCAACATGGTGATAGAGATCTGGTGAACTTTAAGGATACTTTATTATTGTATTGTCGATTACTTAATGTTGGTTTTTACAATAGTGAATATACACTAATGAAGGCTAACATGAAGCAATTTCAAGGATTGCATAAGACAGTTCATTTACTGGAAAACGAGCATGCACACTTGTTTTCAAGGAACCAAGTTTTGATCAAATTCTCAAATTGTCTAGTATTTTATGCTGTCTTTATTGATTCTGGGAGTGATTTCGAGATATTATGGTTTGTTGTCCCATTTACTGCGAGGTTTAGTGGCCTAAATATGTATATATATCTAAATATGAGTTAAATTGTTTGGAATAATTTCATTCCTACAAAAGTAACTGCAGTACGTAATTATTTGAGTCTTTCATTATCTCAACTTTTCATGTCCATGAAGATAAGTGACATCTGCTTCTTTGAATACCATTCCTTACTTTCTACTTCCTTAAATTTTAGTAGGTAAAAAGGGACTTATCAAAACCGATTTATTTTAGTCAGTTAGAGACTTATTTCTATCATTTAAACTGATGTATTGAAAATTAATGGGTAAAATGTGAATAAAATTTGTCAAGGGTTATATAAATTACAAACAAACCTATTGTGGGTGTTTATTATGGACCTAAGAGTAAGTGTTTAGGTATTATCTTTTAAAGAGTATGTAGAGAAAGAGAGGGGATGTTATCAAAAGGGGTGGGGGTGGAAAAATCAAAATTTTTGCATGCATACTATGTCAATCACCTCTTTTCCTGTTCATAACCAGGACCAGGTGGAAAAACCACATGACAAATCAGGTCAATATGATAACACACTGAAGCCTCATTATGACTTTTTGCAAGCAATCACAGAACAGATTTAATTTACTTCACTCTGTTGATATTTATTTAGTTTACATATTTTTCGCTTATTTATTTGGTTCCTTTTTGACATGTCAAGCACTAGTCAATTTTATTTTGTATACCAGGGGTGGTCAACCTACCACCTATAGGGCCAGAATCTGTTCTGGGAAGAGAATTTTTGTGGCCTGCAAAATGAAAAAGATCTTATTATAGTTTTTTGATGGCAAGGATGATATTGCGTGAAGTGGCAAATATTGAATGTAATAAATTGATTCAATATTAAATCATCTGATATCTTCATCAAACCTGGGAATGATAAAAGGATTTGTTCACTGTCTGTTGTCAGGAATTTATCCTGTTTAAAGACAGGACAGAATCTTTGAAAGCAGAATCTTTGAAAGGACTGGGCAAAAGTTAACAAATGCAGCAAGAACAAATCTCGCTGGACACACTCATGGCAATTGAGCAGGCATCACTGTTGGCCCTATTTTGTCATGTCTCAGTTACCAGTGAATAGTCAGATAAAAAGGCCAGTGCTAAACATCGATTGGTGGACAATTTTTTTCAGCTTTTCCCTTTGCATTTACAATTGCAACAGTCTTATCTATTGTTGCAAACTATCTATCTAGAAGAGAGGTTTGTAATTGTAGTGTAATTCAATTTAGAGGAAAAGTTTTTCATTATTATCATATTATTATTTTATTAAAACCATATCATATTTGGTTTTCTTATTACCTTTGGCCTGCTTAAATAGAAATGCTTGAAGGTTATGACCCAGTCTCCAAAACGGTTGCCCACCTCTGTTGTATATATTTTTCAGACACAGTGTAGGTATGAGAATATAACCTCCCTTGCATTATGTCGCACCGTGGTGGGAAAAAAAGTGACAGTTTAATAAAATCATTATTGTACTTTTCTTATCCTGATAAAACTCAATCACTGCTTATAATTGAATTTTTCATCCTAGAATTTTTTTGTGTTTGTTTGTTTCTTTAGCAATCCTGGAGTTCTCCCCATTTGACTCTAACGAAAAGGCTGAAAATCACTACATTTGTCAAATATAGTTTGCCAAATTTTGATTAGTAGATATGTTATTTTATGTTAATTGCGTTTTGATTTCTTTTCTTTCAGGTGGTACTTTGGGGATATTAAGCGACCTGAGGCAGAACGACTATTACTGCGACCAGGCAACACACATGGGTCATTCCTCATTAGAAAACATGATAGTAAGGGCTCCAACATTGGTGTTGATTGGTATGCTTTATCAATAAGAGATGGTGATCTTATTAAGCACTACAAAATAAAAACAACAGATAGTGGCAACTACTTTATTGCAAGGAGAGAAGAGTTTGTCAACCTTCATGCACTAATTGCCCATTATACTGATAGTTCTGATGGGTTAGTAACAAACCTACGAACAGCATGTCTTAAGGTATGTATATAGTTCAAATAAGGCATGAGTTTTTGTCTTATGATTTTGTCTTAAGAGAGTGAGAAGTATATTGTAATTGATGACATGTCTTTACGGTCTCTTAGCAGAATTGTTTGCATTGTTGATTGATAACTTTTTGCTCAGCAGAGTAGATGGCAAAGGTAAAATTTTCTTGTTTTGTTCCATTGAAATCTTCTTTTTGTTGCATTGAAAGTTAGAAGCAGCCATTTTGAACTTGATAGACTGAGCAATACAAGACAGAATCTCCCTACCAAATTTTTTTGTATCATCGTAGGCAGTCACTAGTAGGGTATCCTAAGCCTTTTCAGGCCTTTTTGTAAAAAATAGCCCATATAAGTGACCCAAGGCTTGTGTGATTTGTCTTGCGCGAGCCATCACTTCAGGCAAAGATAACAAAGGTTAATAATGAAAATCAACAATGTTACAAGCATTCATAATGTTCATAAAAATCATATAATCTTGTTATAAGGTTCAATAACCAAATTGAAATGTGTTTTGTTTATAAATTTTGTGCTTAATGTGTTGGTCATATACTATAGACATTGCTCCAGGATGATCGCAAAATGTAGCACCAAACCCCTTTTTTGAAGACACTAACTGCCTAGATGATGCTCTCAGGGCCAATAAAGTTTAAGTACCATACACGACCTTTTTCTTCATTTCTTCAGTATCCCCAGAGTACTATGTGGTGGATTTGACATTCAATTGTGTATTTCCGTTGAGATATGGTCAATTCAGCTTTCTTATTTTTCCTGTGTTTTGATATTCCTGATTTGCATTGTCTATGTCTGGAAATTTGTTAATTGATGAAACATTTATTTCTCACAATTTGCTGTTTTGCGTGAGCGATCAAATGTTTGTGTGGTTGGGCTTGCACAAGTGCCATTGCATCAAACGAAAAGGCCTGCCTTTTACATAACAGACAGTCTTCAATGATCAGGATTTTTCCATAAGGGCACCAACACTTGCTTGTGATGCCTGTAGACAAAGAAAGTTTGACGATTTCCATTAGTGGTAGAATGTCTACTTTGATAGCATCTGTAATGGTGGCAGACAAATTAAGCAAAAACCAGGCTTACAGATCCAACTTAGACTAAGAACGTGCTCACATGGATAAAAGGCTATGTTTTTTGTAAGCTGAGTCAATCATCTTGCAATTTTTTGGAATTGTTTTCCTTACAATTACTAGCACTTTTAACATATCAATAACAAACATCTAGCAGTGAAAATATTTTGATGCCTTCAAGGACCTATTCAATAAACAAAAGTAAGGAAGATAGTGACATAAGAACAGGATTTGTAAAATTATACCAAATGAAATTGTGAGGAACTGGAATTCTAAAGCTGTACTTTCAGTACCCCTATAAAGAACTGTTGACTAATTTAATGCAAATAAAACGCTTTGCAGCTCTGCCACACATGTCTAAAGCAGACTTATTTTGATACACTACTTTTGATACAGACTTACATCGCAATCTTTAATTTGCCATATTATTTTCTTCACTATCAGATAGTATAAAGTGTTCTTAATTTTTATCAAGATTCTTTAAGTGCTTATTGTTAAAGGGCTTATATATACCAACTTTATCTCACACAGCAAAAAAATTTTGAGAGGAAGATAAGATGACAATGAGCCAACACGCAGCTATGGTCTCTTATTTTCTTCGATTAAGACAATGTATTTTTTATAGATTTTTGTCCAGGGACTAGGGCTAGTTTTTATCGACCCCCTGCAATTTTTGTCTGTTCTTTAAAAACATTTATTTTTAGGTTTTACTTTTGGACACATTTTATGGATATTTATGTATTCCAAAATGAGTGCAAGGCTTGTCATTGTGACGTGTTTTGCAATCTTAAATATCATAGTAACTGCTCTTTGTTTGATTCTACAGGTGAAAAACCCTGCATGATTGCCTATTTTTTAACCTTAGAGCATCAATCTATTGTTTACTGCTAATGTCAAAGGTTTTCCTAAAGTATATGTATAAATCTTGCTTCAGTAATGCATCCAAAATTGTCCGCAAACGTTCCTTAGATATTTCCCTTACCAAAAGTTGCTTTCCCTAAGTTAATACTCTTTGAAAGGCGCAAATGTAGTTTATCAAGTTGCTGTGATTGTTAACAATTACTTATCTAGGGAGATGAACAATTTGCCATCCGATTAGGCTCCAAACCTCAGGTTTTCCCATCTACCAAGTTTTAATAAATTGGTTTTTATTTATTGAGGTGGTGTGCAATTGTTGCGGATGTTGGTGATTTGTGATGATCGCCGACGACTTAAAGATAATAAAAAGTAGCCTTTAAAAAGCTGTTGTTATCGACGTATGTCCTTTACCTAGCCTTTTCAAAATGTGTCCCAACATTTATTAATTTTGAAAAATTATGAATCCGCTTTTGCGTGCAACATTTCCTTAATTATAGGGAGAAGATCTTCCTGTCACTACTGACCTTTCCCATGAAACAGAGAAACAATGGGAGATTGATCGCACGACTCTCAAGTTTACAAAGATGGATCGTTTAGGAGCTGGTCAGTTTGGAGAGGTTTACAAAGGTCTATGGAACAATAAAATCCCTGTTGCAATAAAGTCCCTGAAGCCTGGATCGATGAAGAAGGAAAGCTTTTTGGAGGAAGCGGCCCTGATGAAGAGGCTGAAGCACCCTAACCTTATTACCCTTTATGCTGTTGTATCTGTCTCTGAACCGATCCTGATTGTAACAGAGCTGATGAAAAATGGGAGTTTGCTGGACTACCTTCGCAATGAAGGAAGAAGCCTTGAATTAAAAACACTTGTATACATGAATGCACAGATAGCACAAGGCATGGCTTTCTTAGAGTCGAGAAATTTTATTCACCGCGATTTGGCAGCAAGGAATGTTCTGGTTGGAGACAATGATACTGTTAAAATAGCTGATTTTGGACTTTCTAGATGCATAGATGATGGCGTTTATGTTGCTCATGTTGGAGCAAAGTTTCCCATCAAATGGACAGCTCCAGAAGCATGCATGTACAACCAGTTCTCCACAAAGTCTGATGTTTGGTCTTTTGGTATTGTCATGTATGAAGTTATCACACTTGGAAGAATGCCATATGCAGGAATGAACAATGCAGAGGTTTGCTTTGCTCTTTCATCATAATTTCTCATTTTTTTCCTTACTCCTTTATTCAGTTTTGTCACTGGTTGTCACAATTACTTCCTTTTCTATCTATTCCCCGGTTTTTCCTTTCTTTTTCAACAGCCCCTTCCTTCTAATTTGTTGGGCTGACCCCGCTTATTTTTCAATGTACTTGCGATAAACATCTTCAAAACCCCTTGCTTCCCTGCTCTTTCTTCTCAATCTTGAGCCTCTGTATTTTGTTTCCCGCACACACTTCCACATATTTCAATTATTTTGCTTTCACATTCAGAGCTTTACCCTTGGCGTTGACAGTTGCTCGTTTGCACCTTTTTATTGCTCTCGCAAACTCACTCCAATTAAGTTAAACATTTTCTCTCATTATTTTCCAACATTTTGTCATCTGTTCTGCAACTTTTTATGCCCTCCTGCATTGTACTCAGCTTTCCTCCTCCCATTTCTCTAATCGTTCAGTTAATGGTGCTGGAGTTCATTTACTTTGTCGAGATTCTTTACCTGTTTAAAATGTTTTTTATATTTTCTTGTCAATTCTTTTCAAATGATCCAGTTGCGTTGTTGCTCTCTTACTAAGCAGCGCTTTGACTCCCGTTGACCTAGAATTGTAAGCAGCATTGAAAAGCATTAAAATGAAAAAGTTCCAGCAGTTACGAACCTGGGATTGCTGAAACTTTCATTAGACTCCCTTTAAGCTAGTCACATCAATTACTTGCGCATTTTGGCACAGCAAAGACATTTTTTGTCAACTTGGAAACTAATGACAAATATTGAATGGTGAACTCCGTACTGTTTTTTCTATCATAGAAGAATACAAGCAAACAAGGGTATTTTTGGGTTTTGTAAGCTACTTCTGGGTGAATCAGTCGATGCCAACATTGCAACGTTTCAAATGACCATGAAAGCCAAGATGTCATATTCTAAGAATTTTGCTCAATTAACTACTGATGTCAGTCTCCTTTGGGTCTGGAAAAAGACATGAATTGAGCTTGTGAAAAAATAACCCAGTTTATCAATTAAAGGAACTGGTATAAAGCAAATTTTGGGTGTGGCAGCTCGTCAGTGAGACTGATTTTTTGTTGTATTAGTTGTCGAGTGTCTCTTTACGACTCAGATTAAAGGGAAAGCGTTTTATGGGACGGCACCCAACACCATCCCTGTTACCCTCTCCTATCTTTACGATATTCGAGATAATGCTTGAAATAAGCTGCTGTTTTGGTCATGCTAATTTGGTAATCCTATTTGTAGGCCCTAGCCGCCGTTGAAAAAGGCTACAGGATGGAAAAACCAAGTGCATGCAGTGTGCAATACTATGAAATTATGACACAGTGCTGGAAGAAGAATCCAGAGGAGCGGCCTACTTTTGAAACTCTGACGTGGATGTTAGAAGATTACTTCGAGGACCAGCGGAAGTATTTAGATTCGAAATAGAAGAAGACTCTGAGGAAGCATATCACGTAGAACTCATACTTAGTTGCAAAAGTATTTTCGTTTTAAGGTAGTCAGTCCTTTGATTTGGGCTGGGTAAGAAAAAGTAGTTATCATTAAGTGTTTTTATATGAAACCCCCGATCCAGTTAAAATTTTTCTTCTTTCAGTGACACCAAGAAGGATCTAGTACAAAATTTTCTCTACCATTTTGGCCAACCATTGTACGTTTTACCTACTCCAGTACCAAAACCCTTTATTTTCTTTGTGCGATAATATGATGATCTTTGCTGAAGAACTCATTTCCGACAACTATGACACAGGGTACTGTATCATTTGGTTCTTTAGCTAACAACTTTTGATTTGCTTTTTATGTATTTTTTACTTCAAGAAGTCCTGTAATACAGTTCTTTAAAGGTGACAGAAGCAATTTATGAGCTTTTGTGAAATTTTAGAGATTTAGATTTAATTTTCATTGCTTGGTTTCTATTTCTGTGCGAAGTCGGTGTTAAATAACTCTTATATCATCTCGAAATGTAAATTTTTCAGACAATTTTTTATTTGTATCCTGATACCGTATTTGTTGGCATGACCATGAGAGTTTTTCTTGGATGATATCCCAACTTTTTCTGTCACTAAGCTTACCGAAAGGCAGTGTCACCTGAGTGAAACTTTAAACGAGAACATATCTAAACGAGCCACTTGTCATAACCAGCCACTTGCCATAACGAGCCACTTGTCATAACGAGCCACTTGTCATAACGTCTAAACGAGCCACTGTCTAAACGAGCCACTTGTCATAACGAGCCACTGTCTAAACCAGCCACTGTCTAAACGAGTCACTGTCTAACCGAGCCACTTGTCATAACGAGTCACTGTCTAAACGAGTCTCTGTCTAAACAAGCCACTTGTCATAACGAGTCACTGTCTAAAGAAGTCACTGTCTAAAGGAGCCACCGTCTAAAGGAGTCACTGTCTAACCGAGCCACTTGTCATAACGAGTCACTGTCTAAACGAGCAACTGTCTAAACGAGTCACTGTCTAAAGGAGTCACTGTCTAAACGAGCCACTTGTCATAACGAGTCACTGTCTAAAAGAGCCACTGTCTAAACGAGCCACTGTCTAAAGGAGTCACTGTCTAAAAGAGCCACTGTCTAAACGAGCCACTGTCTAAAGGAGTCACTGTCTAACCGAGCCACTTGTCATAACGACTCACTGTATAAACGAGCAACTGTCTAAACGAGTCACTGTCTAAAGCAGGGGTCGGCAACCCGCGGCCCGCGGGCCACATGCGGCCCGCAAGGTACTATTGTGTGGCCCGGAAGGCCCCTGTTAACCTGTAAATAATGTGACCCAATGCACCAGTGTCAGCTCGATATTGATTCAGTGATCTTAGATTCTTGCCTAGATTAGCATTCCTCGTTAACATTACTAGTCACTCGAACAAGCTGAAGAAGAAGCTTCAAGGCCATTGTCATTTTGTGAATGTCATGTATGAACATGTCATGTTCCTGCTTACATCTTTGGAAAACTCAGCTGAATCAACGGAACTTGGTTCACTTTCCATCTTCAAATGGAGTTGATCGAGCTGCAGGGTACCAGTGAATTGAAACAAAAATACAAGGAAACTCAGTTAATCCCGTTTTATATGGAGTATCTCCATGGTGGATGATGGTTCATATCAAGGTCTGGTGCAGCATGCCAAGAAGATGTGTTGCCTGTTTGGAAGTACTTCTCTCCTTTGCGAAAGCCTTTTCTCAAAGATGAAGCATGCGAAGGGTCGACTGCGATCTCGCATGACTGATCAGCACCTTGAAGGCAACTTGCGGCTGCCAACATCAACAATTCTGCCAAATATTGAGAAGTTGGCCAAGGACGTGCAGCACCAAGTTGCCCATTAGGTTCTTGTAATACACTGAACAGTGAAAATGTACTTTACATCTATGTTTGTATTTACGTACAGCTTCCACGTTACAGTACATTTTCCGATAAATACATTTTTATTGATTAGATTAGTAGTTAGGTAGAATTGGTATATATTAAAATTATACTGTATTTTGAGTTGCGGCCCTCGTATGCATTTCAAAAATCAAATTTGGCCCCCTGTTTTATAAAGGTTGCCGATCCACTTGTCACAACAAGCCACTGTCTATACGAGCCACTTGTCATAACGAGCCACTTGTCATAACGAGCCACTTATCATAGCGATCCACTTGTCACAACAAGCCACTGTCTATACGAGCCACTTGTTATAACGAGCCACTTGTCATAACGAGCGACTTGTCATAACGAGCCACTTATCATAGCGATCCACTTGTCACAACAAGCCACTGTCTATACGAGCCACTTGTCATAACGAGCCACTTGTCATAACGAGCCACTTGTTATAACGAGCCACTTATCATAGCGATCCACTTGTCACAACAAGCCACTGTCTATACGAGCCACTTGTCATAACGAGCCACTTGTCATAACGAGCCACTTGTCATAACGAGCCACTTATCATAGCGATCCACTTGTCACAACAAGCCACTGTCTATACGAGCCACTTGTCACAACAAGCCACTGTCTATACGAGCCACTTGTTATAACGATCCACTTGTCATAACTAGCCACTTATCATAGCGATCCACCTGTCACAACAAGCCACTGTCTATACGAGCCACTTGTCATAACCAGCCACTTGTTATAACGAGCCACTTGTCATAACGAGCCACTTATCATAACGAGCCCCAAGCTAGGAAAATTAACGTCATTACCTATCTGATTCGGAAATTAGCTTGATGATGCTGGATTTCCTAACTTTATTCAAGATTGTTAATTCATATTTATTTTAACTACATCAGAATTTTTATATCCTTACCTAGAAACGTAAATGATCTACCTTTTAAAGGTGAAGTGGCAAAAGTCAACGTTTTGCCAAAATCTATTTATGTGAAGTTAGCAAAAAGGCGAAACAACAATTAAATTGACAGCATGCATTTAAATGACAGCATACAATAACACTAACCTATCTGCTCTTGGAAAATCATCTTGACCGTAGTTTATGAAAGAATGATGGTTCCAGTCATGTACAATTCTTGGTTTGGATACTTGTGAAAACTTAATCTCGTGAAATGTTGTTAAGACTTTCGCCTATCTTTCGCTGGTTCTACGGATAGTTGTCGGTGTCCAAGAGAAAAGCCAAGAAAAAGAATCCCCCTAGCGCTCAGCAATCTCTATTCATCACATAATTCTCGTTTCTCTAGGCTTGAATACGAATACTACTGGTAATTTTACATGTTCTTATATGTTCCAACAAGGAATTACCGAAATATTCGACACCGACAACTATCCGTAGAACCAGCGAAAGATAGGCGAAAGTCTTAACAAATGGTCCACGTCGAGCGAAACGGATATTGTCTATGGTGAAATTTTTTGAAAAAGGAAGAAATCTCAAGGAAAAGAAAAATCAGAGGTGGCTACAGAGGGTACGTCTCTCAAATAATAGCAAAAATCGGTGATGAAAATGATGAAACAACGTTGGAAGGTCTCGTAACGCAATTGGAAGGAAAAAGGGCCACATTGAGAAAGTTAGACGAGGAAATCTTGGAACTGATTTCGGAAAATGATGACGAAGATGGAAGTCGATGTATGGCAGAAATAGATGACGCAGGGCAGTTTCTACAGAAGATTGACACTAGCCTCATGAAGCTGAAAAACAATTTAAAGGTTTCACGACAACCTCAAGCACCACCATCTCATGTCAACCTTCAGCGACAGGATTCGGTTCTTTCTAATGACAGTTTGGATTCCAGCGTTTCCTCCACGAAGTTCAACAAGGTTCGTGCAAAACTGCCCAAATTAGAGTTGAAGAAGTTCTCTGGACGCCCAATTGACTGGCCCGAATTCTGGGATGGTTTCCGAAGTGCAGTCCATGAAAATGAAGAGCTTTCAGAGGTCGATAAATTCGTCTATTTGCGACATTACATGGAGGAGTCAGCAAAAAAGGTAGTTTCCGGATTTTCCTTGACTGAAAGAAATTATTGTATTGCCTTGGATCTCTTAAAGGAACGATTTGCCCAACCTACGTTGATTAAGCGTGCTCATATCAACGAGCTGCTGAATGCATCGCCAGTGTTTAACGAGAAGAATATTGGGAGGCTACGAGACTTATGTGACGGTTTGGAAACACACTATCGTGCCTTGCAAGCCATGGGGGTAGACGAAGACTCGTATTCTACGATTGTTGTGCCTGTGATTATGGACAAAATCCCTGATGCTGTTAAGTTGAATATGATACGTAACATCAGCGGTCATCGTGAATGGGTGATGGGAGACATGCCACGTGCACTCAGGACAGAACTGGACATCCGAGAACAGCACACGTCATTCTTCAAACAGGTTGGAAATCCATCTGCTGCGAAGGAGCGGTTTGACGTAAAACCAAGAATTCCAGGAAGAACAACAACAGCAAGCGCATTGTTTGCAAAGCAAGATGGCGATTTTATTTTTCGAAGTGTTTTCTGAAAAGAGAAAAAAATTTGAATTTTCCTTCAATGCTTCAATTTACCAGTAGATTCAAATGATTTGATTCGAACATTTGTTTGACTGTCTTAAAAGAGTGTGCAATGCAGTGGCTTTACTGTGTCTCGGCTTATTTTCGAAGGTCGGCAAATTTTCGAGGAAATACGGTACTTCCAATCCAACCGACTAATGGGCGGGACGACCCAGTTGACCATTGACAAAATTAGAAAAAAATGTCTATCTCCTATTTTGAATTCAATACGCATGTTGGTGATTTCGTACATAGAGTATTCTATTTTGATATTATTGGGAGACGCACTGTGAGTAATGGCTTGTAGAAATCAAAACAAGGGACGTGCGTGTTTTGCAATGGCAGTCACGAAGAGAAGGGATGCAGCGAAGTCAAGACAATCGAAGATAGGAAGAAAAATCTTTATAAACAAGGACGCTGTCTTCTTTGCTTGAAACGAGGACATAAAGCCTACGATTGCCGCACCAAGGTTTTATGTAATGTATGTAGACGTAGACACCACGTTTCGATTTGCGATAATTATGTGTCTTCACATGAAGCCATCTCCATACAGCCCAATGCCCCTGGTAGTTTTAGTAGTACTGCTAATACCACCTCTTGTTTAGGTAGCATTGAATATGGGGGAGAGCAGTACTGCAAACGGCACTTGCATTTGTAAGGGAAGCAGGTAGGAAGGTTAAGGCACGCGTGCTTTTTTATTCTGGTAGCCATAAGAACTTTGTTACGCGTCAGGTTAAGGAGCAACTAGGCTTGCAACCCATACGCCAGGAGAAGCTAGGTATTAAAACCTTTGGGTCCCTGAATGTGGATGAGAGATCGAGAGAAGTGGTAAGATTAAGACTTGAGTCCACAGAGGGAAAGAAAGCAGGAGTTATTGAGGCATATGTGGTTGAAAATATTTCAGAGGTACAAAATGAGCATGTTGAGGTAATTAAACAAGATTTTAAACACCTTAAAAAGATATGGTTCTCAGATGTTTGTAGATCACAAGAAGTGCTTGCAGTTGACATTCTTATCGGAATAGATTTTCTGCACAGCTTGCAAGATGGTAAGAC